AACAGAACATATTTTACTTTCTCAGATCGTCTGGAAACAGAGTGGAATTTTTTTTTAAACGACCAATTTGCGTCGGCCTGGAATTTGTGGGAGCGGTGCTAGACGTATCAGATTAAGTCAGACACGTCTTGTACAAGAATAGACCGTCTGGCAAGAGCAAGGACCGTTGGGCTAAGTGAAACAGGAGAGTGGAGAAGAGGCTTTTACACTGTATTTTTAATACGTCTGTGTGTCGTTTTACATTTTAAAAATAACAGCAGTAATGTCATATATATATATATATATATATATATATATATATATATATATATATATATATACATATATATATATATATGTATATATATATATATATATACATATATATGGTAAGCTACTAAAACAAGTGACAAGCAACGCATATCTCTTAAAAGAAAAATCTCCAGAAGTAAAAAAACAAACTATATGAGCTTGCCTCTAAGCGTTAATTATCAATAAGGATTGACGCATGCGTGTTTATTTATCTCAAAGGTAGTTTGTCCAACGATATTTTCTGGAAGTTAACATTATACGTTATCACTACCTTTTACTGTTTATATATCCAACGGTTATTAACGGGCATAATGTGATCCTACAAAGACGTACATGGGGGCCATCATAACCCCGACTGTCGGCGTGCCTTAAACACTGATAAAAACAAAAAAAATATTATTGTTAGATAAAAGCTTTCCCGGCAATAGCGTGTGCTGTTTGTGAGAAAGAAGTATGCCTAGCTTTCGTTCGAGCTACGAATAACGTTCTAAAAATACAACCTAGAAATTGTCATAAATATGCACAATTATTGTCGGCCAAGGAACGCCTCTCAAAAAAAACAAAATAGATTACATTTAGAATAAAGAAAAAGCGAAATTTTTCGCGGAGTAACGACGGTTAATTCTGCCTGATTCTGAAATTAGTATATGTATTCAATTAGTCAGAAACAATTAATTAGGAAGACAGTGCACTCAGTGTTTTTAAAGACGTTTTTATCTAAGGGTATATGGAGCTGCGGCGCACACGTCCAACACGGTTAATAACGTCAGAAAGATAAGAGAATCGCGGTCCAGCAATTCGATGGTGCTTATACCACGAGCGTTTCCAGTTGCGTAATGATAGACCTATGACCTCTAATAAACTATAAAAACATTTCAGACATTTGTAATTGATCTATCCTGACAGTGATACGAGATTAACATTAAGCTGAGTATTTCGCTGTAAACGTGTAGGCAGATAATCGGAGAGTTTAAAAAAGCAGGTCTCTCTAAAGATAAACTCATCTCAGTGGAATGTCCATTCTAGACCAGACATTGAAAACATTCTTAATTTATTCCTTGACTTGATCAGCCTTACACGCTTAAAGAGCTGCAATGTGTCTGGAATGCAGATCTCTAGTTATCTGAATAGAACTTGCCGTAAAATACTACACGGCGCTAACAGCTCAAGAATTTTTTGAGAAAAATTCCAACTGATATTGTACAGAAAAAAACAACAACAGCTGTTTTATGAAGTACTGATGTGGTGTAAACAGTTGAGACTAACACTTTACCGTTTAAAATATGTACCGTGTTGTTTTTAAAACTATACACAATGTTCTTCTATATATACTTTTGAGATGTAAGAAAATATCAAGTCTATGAAGTATATGAGGATTCTATCATTCCTCAGTGGTTTCCCATTTGTTATTGGCCATTCTAAAGCCGTGTATTGAGTGAGACGCCGCTTAAACCTACCCTTTCATGTCGACTCGGTTCCCGTGTGAAGCGGTTACCGTGTCATCCGTGCAGGTAAAGGATAAATCCCGCCGCTCGGTAACCCGATCCGTGGGCACACAAAAAGGTGTCGCTCAAGTGTATAGAAATGTATGCATCACATTTAGGATGGCCAGCGTTCATCTGTAGTCGGCTGCACGTTTGGGGTTTTCCTTATTTATTGATCACAATTTGAATCATTTTAAACGGGCACAACTAAACCTAGGCTAGATGGTTGTTGATGGAGATTTGGTTTTTATGGTTGGAAATTTTAATAATTTTAAAAAGTGATACAATACCGATTGTATGTGTGTTTGTCTGTATTTTTACACCCTCATACATTGTATTAATACTGTTTAAACGTCATCCACTGTAAGAGATAAATACTGAGTTAAGTTGCGGATAAATTATGGTGTTAATTAATCAAATCAGTGCAATATCATTTCAAGTTATATACATATGTAATTACAGTTTTTTTGCTCGCTAGATGTTTATTCATCACCACTTGACAATACACTAAAACTACTTCATAAGAACTAGAAATATCATGTTTAAGCAATGGCCAGGGTGCCAGTTATAACATAACAGCTTGAAAAAATGAACGTATGACTATAATGTAAAAAAATAATGACTACAGCTTATAAAATATGTGTACACGTAATAGACTGCTTATATAGATTTACCAGTTCCACACAGGGGACTTCTGGCATATGTTGCTCTTGAATAGATTAGGGCTAATCCCGACATAATTATCTCCGTGTGGATTTGTGAGTTCGTGACTCCAACACCGCCCTAACGCGATGTTTATTAATATTCTGTTGCACACATTTTGAGGAACGTATTGCCACAAAACTAACGCCGACAACCCCACCCACGAAAAAAATCGATTGCTTAAAACTTTAGAGATGTTAACAGTTAACAAAAACGATCAACTATTCTAATAAAATTGTATTACTGTTTAGAAAATAAAAAGTAATGTGCAGTGACAACTTCTACTTATCCCTTATTCCCATTCTAGACATCTTCTTGTGAAACAAAAAGCCATGAAAATAACTTGCAAGAAAAACTGATTCATTCAAAATACATTTTTTTTTTACTTAAAAGCTCAGGCATAATTATTTACCCACCCCTTACCAACGCAGATTTTTCTTTGGACCAATATCTTTTTGAAGAGTCGCTACGCTTGTCCAAAAACCCATGGAAATTTTATTTAGACACGGAACGTAACCACATCAGCTTTGAATGCCGGGCTTTAAGGCAAACAATTGAATGAATGCAGTTGTATTAGACAACGGAGATTTTGGCATGGACCTCCCTGTCTAAGAAGTTATTCTTATACAATACAATCTTTAAAACGCAACATAAAAGAATTCTTTTTTTTTTACTTAGTAACGTATTTTTTGTAGTTTAGCGTCAAATCTCGTGCTCGAGAGATGGGTAGATACATAGGTAGCCTACCATTAGACAAAGGTATGATCATAGAGAGAATCATTGTTAAGTTTCACACACTACCTAATAAGGAAACATATTCTTATTTGTTAATTACGAGACTAGCATAGTCGAGCTTTTTATCACTAAATCAAGTGGCTGGGTTCGAATATCAGTAGTGTCGGGGTTTGGGCTTAGATCCTGGCATGGTTATACTAGACAGGCCTTAACTTGCAAACTGAATACTAACGTGTTAGTATGTAGGCCTATCTCATGTAACCTAACAGACACAATCTGATCGATGATTATCACACGAAATAATGGTTCAGTGTGAAGTCAGTGTATGAAAATGGAGGCAAACGTCAAAGAAACCGTGTCAGCCGGCGAGACAGGACAAGAATGGCAGACGGAAAAAAGTTTTGTGTTGTTATCTCGACCAACATCTTTACCGTATGGTGAGAGAATAGTCCCTGATACCGCGGACCTCGCGGCGACAAGTCGGCCTACAAACATCCAATGAGACCAGAAATATGCGCGGCTACATCAGCGGTCCTCAAAGTGGTCGGCATACAGATTTAAGAATTCGATGGCCGATGCGTTCATTAAAAAAAAAAGAGTGATAAAGTACGAAATAACAAAGAAGGCAAACAAAGAAATAACGATGGTACCAAAGTAATGAACTGGGTAAAGCAAGCATATATTTAGCTTAGAGTAGAGAGTTGTTACACGGATCCTTAAAAAGCTTTACTAATGTTGTAACAAGCACATTCTATCCTAACCTGGAGATCTAATAGTGTAAAAAAATTGACCAGGTATCGCCAGGAATAGGCTTTCCACCATATTGGCAATATTTTTCAAGATTGATTCAATAATGATGCTAATGGACGTTCACGATATTTAATAACCTTTAAAAACAACCTGAAAAAAAAGAGAACAGGTACGTCTGTGTTTCCTTTTCAGTGTTAAATTTCTTACGGATAAAGGGAGGGGGGAGGGAGCTCAATCAAATACACTACATAGGGTTGAACGTGAACAAGTTTAAGGACCAGCGGGCTCCAGCTTCGCCAAGCGTTGCTCGCAACCCTATACTTATCTCTTATTCCCGCCGTCGTGGTACGATTAACTTGAATAGAAGTAGGGGGAAGCTGAGAGCAGAGATACGTGTAAGAATAGTTTAGTGCCAGTTTTATGTTGAGGCCGTCCTGCGCTGAATCGGTGCTATATCCTGATGTTCAAGCACGAGCGACTCCGGAATGATGAGCTTTTGTGTCAATCTCTCCTCCACTGTCGCCGCTACCGTTAAGACGGGATCATGTGGAGGGCGCGAGACGTCAGACTCCACCCCCCCCCCCCACCCCCTTCTATTTTTTCTTCCCCCTTTTTTTATCACTTTTACTTGTCTAAGGTGAAGGCAGAGGACCATACGATATTAAAAACCAGCTACCATCCAGCCCACCTTTTCTTTCGGGCGAGAGGAAGATACGGCGAAGATGGTATATCTCCCAGCGACATCTGTGAAACTAAACACCTCTTTTATTCTCTCCCTTTTTCATCCCCACCCTCCCCAATTCCTTTCCTCTTTAGATTCTCCCCCTCCACCCCCTCTTTTTTTTTCTTCATGCATCCTTCTCTCCGTCGTTATTCTACAATTTTTCTTCGCGTCAAAACTATCATAGTTTTTAACACCTGACATTGGTAACATACGGCCAACTACTCTACGGCCAATGGAACAGCTGGCCTGAGTTATTCCCCCTCCTACCTTCACGGGGAGAGCATTAACACCTCATTACACGATCATTATTTGGGGAACTCTTCTTGTTAGCTATCCATTCAATACTGCCTTGGTCGCTGTTTTATTGCGTAGTTTTTTTCCCCCAAATAACTGGAAGGGGGAAAAACTAAAATGTCTGCTTCTTTTCGCCGTCTGCACTCGGTGAAACAGGGCGAAAACGCGTGCTGTGTAAGTGCCGATGAAGCCCGATCTGTTTTAAGTTGTTTCTAATCTCTCGAGACAGAAGATCTTGTTTAAACCTCCATTTAGATGCTAAAGATAGCTGATAACGGCGCGGCTTATTTCACTACTGAAAAAAAAAGCGAGAGAAGTGAAAGACGAGAGGGGTTAGAGGAACAGAGTTCATCACGGAATGTTCCAGTGTTAATTCTCGGGGATTTTTACTTCATCATATTACATTCTGCTTGTGGACAGATGAGGCTTGTGTAGAGTTTAATGGTTGATTATGTCATGCCAAGAACTCATCGTTTGGTCACTTACAGTGCGACATGAAGCTGACCACTCGATGTCGTCTGGTGTTATTTCTTTTGCTGATGGTCACCGCTTCGCTTGGTGAGGGGAATACACGGCCACTCAAGACAAAAGGTAAGGGGACATTGTCATTTTGGTTAGCTTAAGAACACGACGTGCTATATTCTTAATGTGTCAACCACGCCACATGGTACAGCCAGACACTGACCGCGTAGAAGTCAGACCACGATTTTAGTACACCCACTACACGTATTATACTGATCTTCTTTATCTCTATCCGCCTAACATAAACGGTAATAGTAACCATTACGAGGGTATTTTAACCAGTACTATACTACTAATCTATTAGCTATTTAAACACAATCATTTAACGCTGGTAGATTTTACTTCTTGCTTTTGTATGTTTCCACCTAACATTTCGTGCTTGTTGTATAAGTAGGACATGTCTAATTTAACCTGGCTGGTGTAGCTAAGTTGGTCATTAAATCACCCACTAAAGAATCCATTGTTCTTATAGTTGATATTTTTTCGAGAGAAGCCCATGCTAATCTAATTAATAACACACGCTAACAACGCTCTAGGATCAACTATAGTAGGACTGGAACTATTTGTATTCATCTCAATGTATATTTTAATACCACCCTATTTATATACCAATGTAAAACTGTATATATATATATATATATATATATATATATATATATATATATATATATACATATACAAATGTTAAACGGATGCTTTTGACTGGTGTAATGGAGGCTAAATACTAATATAATCTGTTAATTGGCAAAACATAAGGATATTTTTACAATTAGATAGTTAAAACCAGTGTCTAGTTTTTCTACATGACGAATCTTTCAGTAATCTTACATAAGAAAATGTGCTGCACTTATAGTCTATGTTCCTCTCTGGTTTGGACAGGCTTAAGAGTTTAACTTCATCTTATCGCCAAAACATACACACAGATGTAAAATGACAGTCATACTTGCTTACGTCTTAACAGTTTTTAATGAACTAGAGTTTACTAGAGGTAAATGATGTGTCTCACTAATTCTTTATTAAAAAAAATATAAAAAAACTGCCGTCATACTCGTAGACTTAAGCCGCGAGTGTGTGTGTACACAGAAGAATGAAGTTAGTGTAGACCGAGGCCACAGTCGAGTGTGTCTACGTTTGCTTTTGTTCGAATGTCAGACTTTTTACTTTTTGCATGTCATTACATGCGCGGTACACGGTACACGCTGATGCATCAGGAGAGGGGGGGGGGAGGACAAGGCAAGATATATTTTCAGCCAGACGATCTTTTTTCGACAAAATCAACATAAAAATAGAAACGGAATTACCTTTTTACTTTTAGATTTTATTTTCACCATGCTTGCCGAGAGAGGAAATTTAATCAAAGCAGCAGGGAGGCTCACATTACCGCTTCGTTTGAGGAGTCGTGTCTTATGGCACGTTAAGTGTCATGTTTTGTGGCATATACGTGTCTTGTAGCGTGATAAATAATGATTCTTACACTATGACATGTAATGAGTCGTGTATTGGTACATGAAATAAGTCTTGTATTGGGCCATTTAACGCGTTGTGTATTGGGACATGTAATGAGTTGTGTATTGGGACATGTAATGAGTTGTGTATTGGGACATGTAATGAGTCGTATTTTGTGACATGTAATGAGTTGAGTATCGTGACAATTGGACATGTAATGAGTTGAGTATTGTGACAATTGGACATGTAATGAGTCGTGTATTGTGAAATTAATGAGTCATGTATTGTAAATGCAAAAAGTCGTAAATTATACTAATAATCTGTTAAAAAAGTACACCTGTCCCATTTTCACTGCCATCAAACTTCAGTTAAATACTAGTTGAAATAAAAATTTCCTTTAGTTAAGCGTTAACGAGTTTTTATAAATTGACCTTTACATAATTTGTGTTACTTGATAAATTTAAATCCACGTGCGTCTAATGACTATAATATCGTACACAATATCTCCGTATGTAATAATATCTATCCGAAATCTTTATTTTGAAAGTTTAAACATTTTTTAAACACTTCACTTAAATAAAAAGTATAATGCCATCTATCCATACTCCTACAACATACACTAACCACTCCAAACATCTGCAGCTACTAATGCAGTAAGTTTGAGAACCACCGATACAATGGATTCGTTTCAATAAATCTTATTTCCCACGCTGTCTCCAGAGCGAACGTCGCTACGTTGTTTATAGCTCCCATACATACCGTTTTAAAAATGGGCGTTTTTTTTCCCCTCGAGCTTAGCATAAAATTTCGATCGGATTTCCCCAAGACTTCCATCTCTAGCTAGTAATTTTCTCCCCTAGTGCCCCCCTAAACACTATCATTGAGTTTTTGTTATTCCAGCATTTAAATTCACGATGAATAAGAAGTATTGATTCTAGAAGTTAGATTCCGTTACAATAGTAAATACACAAGCATATGACAGTTTTAGAATATAATATAGATTGATTAATGCTTTATTCTTGCCTCGTAACTAGACCGGTACGCGCTGTGGTTTTATGACGCCGTAGAAGCAAGCCATTGTTTGTGTAAGATTTAAACTAAAAAGAAAATCATGTTTCGGTGCATTACAGTAAACCATTACATAGGTTGATAAATATGTTTTAATCTATTTAGTAGATTCCTTTAAATAATTGTGTTGGGAGATAATGTTGTTTGGCCATTACAAACATAGCAGCTGTGATAAGTTAACATCGACGAAGTACCCCCCCCCCCCCCATCCGAGAAATGTGTGTCGAGAGTAAGGCTGAGCCGGCGCCCCTTTGCACAAAGATTGTATACACTAGGTGGGACGAAGACATCAAGAAATGATACAATAGATGAAGACATATACTTTTATTTACAGGTTATTAAGAAATCAAAACTTGTGAACAATTCGAAGGTTTCAGTCACTAAGTATTGTTATGGTGATAAGAATGCACTATGGGTTAATATTTTTTTCTCAAAGTAATTTGGCTTTTTTTTTTAACAGGAATACATTTTTACTTTCTCGTATATACAAAGTATAGAGAAAGTATTGTAATCGTGCAAAAAAAAAATCGAGATTTTTACAGATCTCGACGTTTTACACCTCACTGATACGGAAAAACATAATTTTGCAATCTTGTCCGTATGTCTGTGTGTGTGTGTGTGTCTGTGTGTCTGTGTGTCCGTGTGTAAACACGATAACTTGAGTACCGTTACAGCTAGGTTGATGAAATTGCATATATAAGTATTTTATCAAAATCGTAGATCCGTATCAACTTTTGAGCGATTTCCGATAACCGGAAGTGGTACTTTTCCTACTTTGAATTTTTCAAAAGCCTATAACTTGAGTACTATTTCAGATAGATAAATGAAATTTCACATGTAAGTAAAAGATCTAATTCTCTACCTTCTGTAAAATTTTGAGTAATTTCCGTTGACTGGAAGTAGTAATTTACGCTACTTCCGATTTCTCAAAAAACGAATGTAAATTTTAAAAGTACTAATAATATTGCGCACTATTATGCGCTTTTTTATTTGGCGTTCACTTGGTGTGCAATTAATTTGTCTACGAGATTTTATTCTATTTTTAAAACTTTAAGTATTTAAAATGGATTAAAAATCATGTCTATATACCGAGTTCCCATCCCCTGTTATTTTATATAAGAATATTCGATTACATATTTGAAGAGGGATCTAATTTTGATCTTACGGGTAAACAATTCATAGACATCGTCACATGGCAGCATTTAAACAAAGTACCGTTATAGGTATTCACAAAACTTGCCTCAAACAAAATTACCTTTGACTAGACTAGCCTCCTCAAACAAAAGTACTACTAGACCACTTTTAAACAGAGACTATATTTTGTCGCAATGTATGCATTAAAAAACATGTTTCAAGCAAAACCGTTGCACTGATTAAAAAATAAAATAAACAAGCTCATAAAACGAAATATCTTTTAGAATATACCTAATCGTTTCCCAAGGAGGTACACATTTTTCTAGACATTTGATCAATGGTTTATCATTAATGTGGACATTCTGCCGTTATAAGACAGTTCAATGTAACAATTTTGCCACATTTTATCACCTGAATTTTGTTTAGTAAGTTGTTTCATTTTCGTGGCGTGCACATCTTTAATATACCTCAATTTGATAAGATTGTATTTGTAACTCAATATCTATTATCCCTCTGTGATTGATTACATTTTTTTTCGCCTCGTATTTTTATAAGATGCTATCATTTGCGATACCCGGTAGATGAGGCTCAATAGTTAAGAACAGCAACTCATCTAGGTTTGTTTGTTCTCGGATGGAGAAATCCTATGGAAGGAAGCAGATCCAAAATGAAAAGCAGGCAGAAAAGGAGTCAACGGGCCCATAAGGCTCATAAAATTTTGACTTGAGTTGGAGGAAACCCCGTCCAAAAGTACAATTAAGAAAGAAAACGACATTGCGAAAAACATTTCTAAATGAATGCTTGTGCCAATGAAATAAGTGTTGTTTATTTAATCTTAAGATACGAACACAGCAAACACCGAAGAAACATTATTTAAAAATTATTCGATGTTGTAATAGTCAAAGCCATTGCTGACAAAGATCATCTTCCTTTAATACACATTTTAATTGCGTTTCAAATAGCCGTCGAGCTTAATAAACTCTAATGAAACTTGCCTTTCATAACGATACGTTTCTTACTTCAATAGTATGGATTTGAGCCTGTATATTATTTGCTCACTCAGGGATACGATACCCAGACAACATCGCTGTATATACTCAAGTGCCTCAAGTACACGGAACGAAAACTGACTTTCCACTCTGTTTCTGAATGTAGTACCCCCTTCTTCCAATTTGTATAGCTTAATAAAAATATTTGTAACAACACGTTCTGATATCTTGAAATTATATTGTACCTTCTTGTGACCGTTTTTTAACATCAATATGTCGATGCTTTTAACCCAACTTTCTTGTAATAAACAACGTATTTGCAAATGTATAAGTAAACATATGTGATACATCAAGTGTTCAAGCTGTTAAACATAACAATTATAGCTTAAAGAATACAGGATGCGGCAGTCTTTTCACACTTATCGATTTAAATATTGTACCCCATCTCTCCGCAGTATCAAATTTGCTAACTAGTTGAAGACCACAGGTAATAAACCACAGTTGTCACAGTTTTCTACTTTTGAGAAAAATGGGATTTTGTATTTGATATTTGAGATCCTTACTTGCTCCATTGTGGCGTGATTTTAAAATCTTAATGTTAAGGGGATCGAGGGGGTTTTACGCTTTCATATTGTAATGTGTGATAGACATACATTAGTGCTACATGAATATGGCACTAATCTTAAAAATCCCAAAAAGTTGGCATTTATGGTTTATCCCGTTTTTTTAAATGTTATTTAAATAGAAATTATGTCGGGGGAGGGGGGGGGGGGGGGGAATGCTCTACTTTTGACCCATTATGCCATCACATATAAATTTTTTTGTTTATACACGGGTTCATTAATACATGCCATAATTATACGTTTTATTTACTTAAAGCTATTTTTAAACACATATTAGTTCAACACACATAATTATCTCCGAATATTGGGGGTGTAGATATCATGTAATGTTATACGTCAACCTAAAAATGTACATTTTCCCAAACTTTAAATGATAAACCTGTTTACACTCAAATAGAATTTTTAAAAAAAAAGTTGTTTCTTTACCTCCTACTCAAATAACTAGGAATTCCCCAGGACGAAACCGAACAAAGGCAATAGTTTTTAAAAAAAAACGAAAAAAAACCCCCCTGACATTTATGTTTCATTAAAAATATAGGATCACGAGGTGCAGATATATCAAGTGATGGTTTGGAAAGTATGGAGTCGATTTCTTCCAATTACATCTGTCCTGTAAATGTGTAAAGAAGTATCGCAGAACGTTATAATCCACTCCATCCAAGCCCACACCAGACACCTGCTTACCAAATAAATAATCCTGTTATAATAGGCCTAGTCAGACTAAACAGATCCGACTGAAGTCAGAAAGATAAACAGAAAATGTTTTTTTCTCTCCGGTATTTCCGTTCATGTGAATGTAAACAACCATTCTGGTCTGTGTCTCAGGGCTAAGCAGACGACTGACCAGACCTTGGCTATTGTTTAACTTGATACTAAGATTTCACCACATCGCCTCGTGATCTTTAATGCCACCATCAAACGTGGCTATTTATTTAAACTCCGTTTTATGGCTTGAGCACCTCGCATCACCCTCGTTACTAACGTTTAGTGGAACATTGACGATGCCTGCACTTTGTCACAGGCTTTAAACAGACATCCCACCCCCTAGCTAAGAGAAGTCCTCGAGACAGTGAAACTCATTCAAGTTCCAGTTTTATAGCCACGTCTGTTTCTTATTGACTTCACGAATAATTTTTTTGCTACTGTGTTGCTTTAACGTTAAAGTTATTTTTTTCTGCGAAAGTATGGCTTCCAGAATTCATTTCAGGCACCTCTTCGAGTGACTGGGGTGGGGTGTGTTTACTCATATATACCTTAACTAGTGTTCCCCCCCCCCCCCCCCGCTGGCTTCTATTAAGCTATCCATAAGCTTGGCCCAACGATGGTAGTATTACAAAGGTGTATTTACTAAATTTAACAGCATTAAAAACAATACACGTGATCGATGTGTTAATTCTATCACAAAAAACATATTGTAAGTTCATTGATACGCCATAGTCAAACAACATCCATTGCTTTGTTGTATTTTTTTCTCAGATTTCGATCTAGTTCGGTTATCTCGAGGCTAGCGGTAAGTGTAGTGCATAATATTTGTGTTGACTTGTAAAGGAAGTCAAAAGTGTCATTCTCATCGACTTAGTAAGCAGCTTGGTTGAAAGTAAACCTGCATTCACTCCAAAAAATGTTTACAGTTACACGGGCCTTTCATAACAACGGTAAATATTTTCTTTCGACTGGACGCAAGCTTATTTTCCATCTAGCGCCACACCTCTAACGTCGACACGGTGAATAGAGGTCCGCTGATGTGAGAGATTGTTGACGTTGAAATGAGAACTGCTGGATATTGTTACCAATAATGTTTATCCAGCAGTGAGCACATGTTTACACGTCACGAGATGTTTTATCTTAACACCGGCTTTTTTTCTTCATCTAGCATGTGCCAAAATTATTTCTGCGCCTAAAAAAAGCGTATTCTATATTAAAATATTTGGCCCGAAAACAGAAAATTGTAACGTGTTTCAGACAAGCTTATGCGCACACCTATAATTCCAAAACAATCTTGCTTTGCCATGTATTCATGCACGTAGTTCTAATTATCCACAATCGACCCATAAACTTAAGATTATTTTTAAAGTCACAAACCAATATTCCGCCTTGTAGCATTTGGTACAATAGGCTAAGTGAGGAAGTGATGCTTCATGTAGATAGACAACATAGACAAACATTCATTTGCTTATTTAATTTGCCTCTTGTTAAGATACTTTGTTAGTCACTATACATGTGATACGCTGGGGATCTAAGCACAACATCCATCTTATAACCAACACGCTTCTACTAATATTTTTACTTCATATCAATTAACGTATAATATAAACTATTAGAATAAAGTAGCTTATATATCAATGGTATTCAATACAAACACTCACGAGTCTAGCTAATATTGTAGATTGACCAGCCATAGTAATTTTTAAGTAAAAGTAGTGATACCACATATTTTTTATATTTGTAAAATATTTCCTTTCTGGGGTATTAAACTGTCCAAATCGTCAGAATATACATTATTTGCTTTCAGAAATGAGGCGCTTAGATTTCAAAAACATGGTTTCAGTTTTATAATCTTTTTACATCTAAATGTAAAAACGGGGATATCAAATTGTGGGAAGTATTTTTTTTTTATTAAAATGGTACACTTCAACGGTAGTTAAAGAAAACAATGAATCCACCCTTAACAATAGCGATACTTTGTCGCCCTGCTCTCCTCTCAAACTCAGCCCAGGACTGTGAGCAAGGTACTCACACATGCCATCAAGATGCTATCTGCGTTCGCACGCGCAAGTCCTACAGATGCAAGTGTAAGCCAGGATTTAACGGTGACGGCAAAGTTTGCAAAGGTGAGTCGGTATACAAATGTTAGTCTTATTGAAATGGTAATGGCATATTTTTAAGTGACATTTTGAGTCCGCATTCCTATACAGGGCACGTCAGCCCGTTGAATCAATAATGTTTAGCATACGGCACAGTATGCTACAGCATGGCATTTATCCTTTTTTATGTAATGCTTCCCCAAGTCTTGCTAACACGCACTGCCCGCCCATATTCTCAACTGATAGCATAATATGCCATGAGTGAGTTGATGGCAGAAGCCCAGTTACCTTAATACCTTAAAACAGTTGAAAAGCAAAAAATTGAAAGTTTAAATGTTAACTCGATTACTTGAGTACCGTTTCAGTTAGGCGGACGAGATTAGTAACACGTTATAATAAACACCATTTAGATGCGCTAAAAGTAAAACAAAACAAAACCACTTTCTTTAAATTATAAATATAACACTAAAACACAGGTCGTTAAAATAATACTAATTTCACTAACGACCGGCGCCTTCACTAGCAAATTATCATGTTTAAAGAAGTTTTTTTTAGTGCATTGCAAAGCTTGTTATATAGTTGATGTTTTAGTACGATATTTAAATCGCAGTACTTATTGGTTTTGTAAGATTCCCCAATATTGAGAAAAGATGAGACAAAGATTTAATATAAAAACGTATAGAATATGAGTAAACTAGCTTACAAAATATACTTCCCCTTCAAATAAAAAATGATATTTATCTGATCTTTCTATACTTTTTTGACGGGCGATATTTTGTAAACATTAAGCGGTGTAATTCCGAGGACTTCTTTTTATTCTCCCATACAATACATAGATCTATATATTTATTGAGATGGTCTCAATTATCACCGGAAAAGAATAAACTGTCACCCACAACACACCCAAACCATACGTATAAGGTATTAAAACCAAGTTTATTTTACTTAACTGTATGTACTTTACGGATCACATTTTTTACATGTTTCTTTAAAAAAACAACAACGTGATAATGGATTGTTAATCAAACTAAATGTCTACGGTCAGCCACATCAGTTACTTTACCCCCCCCCCCCACACACACACACACTCCAAACACCACACACACCTATCTGTTCAGGATTATAAAAGCAGATAGGTGGATAATTATTGCTTTCTGTTGATTTTTATACCACATGTATAAACATAAGCTAAGATACTACTTTTTTGAAACAACGTTTTGATCCAGCTGAATACGTGTTTAAGAACTTTAGTTATTGATTGGAAGCAGAAAGTTCTTGTCATACGATAAACAAAAAGATGTATGGTTACATTTTCAGTGTACAGTAGGTTATTCAGCATTAATGATCTTCAATTGTCTCATCCGATTGCATTAGAAATTATGCATGTTAAAATAAGCATCTATGGTATACAACAAGATGGGAATCAGCACCTAAAACAGTGTCGCACAGGGTATAGATTATTCGAACAATACTTAAAAACCAGGCATCGAAGTTGCCAGCTCTAGTGATCTGTTTGCGGGCCAGCGTTCTATAGATAGACCTGCCGACCTTTACTATAAGGAAACATCTATATATATAATTCTCTACTTGGAGACCCTAGAAAACACCAAGATGTAAGCGCGCTCCCTACCACCCCCACCCCTACATGGTCTGGTGAGCTGTGGTTCACGCTAAATGTTTACAATCGTAGAGCCGGGTTTAGTGACGTCTATTAGGGTAGATAATTTAGTTTGAAACGATTTTAAACTTAAGGGAGGTAACTAAGAGGAGGCTGCTTTCACGGAGGAAGGGGGGGGGGGAGGGGTTGGGGAAAGGAGGTGGTTGGGGGGGGGGGGGGGGGGGTTATCGTCCTTAACGAGCTACTGATAGTGTTTTAAAGCAAATATTTTCAGTGGCAGCATTGGTACCGTCGAATTCACAAATTATGAATTACTGAAAACTAGAAAATAAAACAACTAAATAGCGGCGCATGATACGCCGCGGGTCGGCTCGTAGGTTATAATTCAGTTTTAACATTTTTTTAATTTGTTTTCCGTGGTGTAATTCTCTGTCGATTACAGGGCCATGGTCAAGAGGGGTTGTATGACAGAACAATAGCACTAGCAGAATTTACATCCCTGACTTTTACCGTGACAAACCAAACAAACGTCCTAGTAGCTATCAAACGTTTGATTCGGTTAGAATAGACAGTAGGCGTATTAAATTTAATAATGATCTCTTAAAGTGCTTGAATGACGCTGGAGAGATTTGCTGTCTTCTTTTTTAATAATCAAAATCGTCGATTTGGTACATGCAACATCATAACCCCTTCAGTTCTGTTTCGGATATTTTTTGGTGTTTTTTTTTTACTACTTTACTTTATTTCTTAACTTTGGATAAGATTTCTACTCTCCTTGAACAATTCTCTCAATAATAATGTTTGCTGGGGTCAAAGCCTTAGCTCACACATTACACACATCACAACTGTCGTACAACTCGAGTGTTGAACGGGGAAACTGTAATAACTGATTTTTGAGAGAAACTGTGTCGTCCAAAAGGCTATTGCTGTTTCGTTAATCAGTCTAAAACTGTATTGCTTCTCTTGTTGTTCATTTTGAAAATTGAAGAGGGAATAGTCATTATCTTTAGAAATGAACTAGATTAGAGTTTAAAATTTTATATATATATATATATATATATATATATATATATATATATATATATATATATATATATATATATATATATATAGTCCCTGTATACGAAAATGTGTGTATTACAACGCACTGTAGAACTGATAACCACTAGGCAGCCTATGTTATTTATAGTATAATACTGCGTACTATAAAGCACTGTCTTTTTCCTCGTAGATAACTACGCCGTTTGAGGCTAGATGTTTCTTTTAGGTGCGTTTTTTAGTAGGCACATGAACTAGACTGCTTAAATTTGATATTCTTACGTGGGCGACTGAAAAACAAAATAACCTTTAAAATAAATATTTGGCAAGGCGTCATATTTCTATAGATAAATCTTACCGTTTTTCTAACAACCACAAAAGCATGTGCTATAGCTCATGATTTTAAACTACATTGGAAACCACGCACAGCTTAGGAGTCGAGATGGTTTAATACTACATGTAAACGGGATCCAGACACACGCATGATGCATTAAAATGTTAAACAAATAATTACTAGCACAGCACGAGGTTTTAAAGAATCTTTTGAAACTATTTTTAAGACGCCTGTTTCCTAACAAAACATCATATTTTTTAATCCAGCTCAACATTTATAGACAAAGTTGTTATCAGTTATGGCTTGTTTGTATTTCTTTGCGTTATTCAGTAATAGTTATTCACACGATCTTTCCTTAATACAATACTGACATGACGTTGATAGACAAGGCGGCCACCAAGTAAGGGAGATAACTTTTTGGAATGTATTTCGTCTCTAAAAAAAATATTGCATTGTAAAAAGGTTATCTCTGAGCGGTACACTGGATAACCTTTGCCTTTTCTCACTAATTTAATTAAAATAGGGTTATTCAAATAAATAGGCCTATATACGATACAAACAAAAGTTATGCTGAACATATTTTTTGTAAGAGTTTTGTTTAAACAATATATATTTAATGCACCCGCAGACGCTGTTTCATTCGTATCGTAAAGATCATAGACTTGTTGGCCTATTCATAGCAGCAGTTGAGTATTTTTCATCTGCAGCAAAATAGATGCCATTGTTCTAAAAGCCGTTTATAATGCACATATTTTTTTAATCAATAAAAGACCCAATCTTCAATCTAACAACGCATTGCTGATTAAATTGTTTATCCTGGAATAGTAATAGTTATAGCAACATAATTCATAGTGTAATTACTACATACGTTTTTTAATCAATGTTTGAGATAAATTATAAATTAGCCCTAAATGAGAAGTATGTTTTATTTTATCTTTGCTTTGTTCAAAATACTCATATCAATATCTCATCATAAAAGTTTCTGGTAAAACAGTTAAGTATCCCGTTGTATGCGCCAATTATAGTTGTCAATGCGTGTTAATGTGTATAATAATAATAATATTTGAATAAAATAGTGATTTCTGAACGTCTAGGCAGCACATAGCCCAGTCTGATCTAGAGGAACTTATAGTTTTGTATAGAGGAAGACATTTTTTCACTATCATGTAATCGGAATGTAATCAAAGTATTATAAAAATAAAATCAATCTGGGGCAATGAATTTTTATGGCTACTTAATGTAAAATTCTGATGTAAAAAATTCGAGTTTGTCAATATTTTAGATACTACGTATCTTTCTGTATAGGCTGCTAACAATCGTCATGCGCACATGACAAATTTAACGTATGCATTTAAATATTTACGTTTATTATTTTCAGATGAAGACGAATGTCTTCAAGAGAATGGTGGTTGTGTACACACGTGCATGAACACACCAGGGAATTACACGTGCTTATGTAGTGACGGCTTTGTCCTCGCCCCAGATGGAAAAGATTGTACAGGTAGGTCAATGCCTGAACGACCTACAAATGCAATATTTTATATTCCATGTGTATAGATAAATACCCTATCTTAAAACAAATAAAGTAAAATTACTGTTCATCGTTCTATTTTGTTGGCTTCGTCACAAAACTTCTTTGATCCAGAATAAGCATTTAAAAAGGGAGTGTTGTTTTTATTATTTATTTTTTCAAACGATAGAAAACAAGTTATAAACTTTTACCTTTTCATTTTTACTGATACCTTATAATTTATAATCCCGAAGAGACAGTCTTTTTTGCCATACTATTTAATCGTTTTGATGGGTTACTTTAATGTGACGATAAATCTCTTACCATGAATAATGTATGTACGTTTATGTGTCATACTGGGACTACTCTACATTCCCAGACAAAAACGAATGTTTTGACAACAAGGGAGGTTGCTCTCAACAATGTGTTAACACTCTTGGGAGTTTTGAGTGCAAGTGTGCTTCGGGCTACTCACTCGATTCAGGGGGAAAGAAATGTGTTTGTGAGTAGACAATTTTTCTGTTAACTTTAACGTTAAGCTATTGTATACTAATGCCCGCGATAATTTGCTGCACTACCCACTCCTTTCTGAATCAAATCCACAGCGAACTTCATTTTTATAACAAAATAATATTATAATAGAGGCTTAATTATATAAACACAGAAACCCATGTATAGGCTTATAGTGAGCGTGAGAGAGAGCGAGAGAGAGAGAGAGAGAGAAACATGAACACAAAAAATATAACATTGTATACAGTGGCGAAGCGAGGTCGGGTGTCACCCGGTGCGGCACTTAATTGTGTCACCCCCTTTCAATTTTCGATTTGTACCCCCCCCCCCCCCCACCCTTGTCAGGATTTGTCAAATTTGCTCTTAAAAGACTTTTTAACACTCGAATTTATCACTTAATTAAGTGGAATTATCATTTGTCTATATATATTTTGCTATTTTTTGCCTTGGTGTCACCCCCCCCCCCCTAAATGGTGTCACCCGGTGCGGTCCGCACCCCCCCCCCTCCTCGCTACGCCACTGATTGTATATAACCTAACACATGTAACAACATATCACTTTATGTATCGTATTAAGCAACATTTCTACCCCCCTCCCTTCATTCACTCCAGCAGTCAATGGCCGTGTTAGATGTATCCCATATACCACTCTACCACTTCATGGTGTATGATATTTGCACAGTCGCATATGTATATGGGCTATACATCGCATACCTAAGTTTAAATCCAATTAATAATATGCAACTTTAAAATGCCTAAAAAAATTCTACTTACCAATCGAGTTTGTAGCACTTCTAAAAGCAGCCGCCTAACGCCAACTTTCGCTTTATTTTGAGCTCATACATCAGTACTTTAAACATGTTCAACTCGAATCAGTCTAATCAACTTCAATATCACTTTGTTCCTTTTCACGTGTTTCAATTGTTTTCCGTTGAGCTTGTAAAACTTCACGGGAGATCGGCCTTTTTAGTTGAACTCTTAAATTAGCATAGATTTCCATCGTGAAGCTTTGCAACAAGATACACATTTTGCACTCGTTAATTTTCACATAAAACACATACGTTGTTAAGTTAGCCCGAATTTGTGTCCGTTGACGCTAGATGCTATTCCATAGAATATAACTCGCTGATAGTTAAACACTTTTCGCTAGTAGTAATTGATATATTTTCTTACTAACAGCTAAAGAACGACGGGAAAAAAAGAAACGTAGACCTATTTCTATTATTCTATGCTTGCCGACAGGACTACGCTCAGTACAGTACCTACATGTTTTTCTTATAGTATTTCTGTTATGGTTGTAGCTCAATCGGGATTATGGTTATGATTAGGGCTAATATCAGGCTTGTGGCAAGTTTGGGCAATGTCAGTTCGGTCGGGTATCGATACCAACAAAAACAGTTCGATACAATCGAGAAATGCTGTATGGCATGGGGGGGGGGAGGGAAGAGTCATCAATAAATAACGTCTCGCTTTTTTTTTTTACCTCCTTCCCATCGTCATAAACAGCAAGACACCCACCTTCCCGTAAAATGACTTCATTCTTAAAGCTAACCCTCCACTCTCTAACCAATAGCCATTTTGTTTAGGGGTTTATTCGTCATAAATGAAATCACGATTTACCCCGTAGTCACATATCGACAAAAAAGCCAGACCCCCCACACATCCCTATAATGACGTCACACTTCAACCTATACCCCACCACCCTTTTGATTTCCTTTTAAAATATTCTTCTAAGCTGGGTTACTATTGCGTATATTAATCAATTTCTATTACAATTTAAAAAGAACAGCCTTTTAAAAACACAAAATATTTAGTTTCCTATACAACTTCGAAAAGGGTATCCCCCGCCCCCTATTCCCGCTCGTCACAAAATTCTGGCAACATCCCCACCCCCTAAGAATGTGATGTCGGTTTCGGAGACCCCTTAGTACAGTTAACAAGATATATATATATATATATATATATATATATATATATATATATATATATATATATATATATATATATATATATATATATATATATATATATATATATATATATATATATATAAACATAAATGCGAAATGACTGCAACAATTCATTTAAAAAAAATTAAAATGCAGTCACTCACGCTCACACAGGTCACCTAAATTTAAATCCACTCCCACCCTTTCCTCCCCCTAGTATTATCCTTTTACGGACTGCCTTTTTCTTATTAATCATAGATCTCTAGTACTGTTATTTTATAACCTACTTAGAATCTAGATCTAGATCTATCTCTTCATCATCAGCCTACGGGTAGAAATCTTTACTATAATGGCCTAATCTATAATTAATATATCAATTCTAGATCTATTGACTGTATATATAGTATAGAGTATAGATCTATATAGATATCTAGGTCTATAATCTATACTTGTAACTATACTAGATTTTCTAGATCTGGATAGCTAATTCGTATACTTCGCATATATATAGATTATTATAGATATCACTTAGGGTTGCCAGGTGTCCAGTTTTGAACTGGACAGTCCAGTATTTGAGCAGACTGTCCAGGATAAAATAAATATAAATACTGGACAAGTATATGAATAGTACCAGTATTTTCGGAAAAGGTATCTGGCAACCCTAACTAAACAGATCTAGACTAGAAATCTAGATCTAGTCTAGATCTGGATAGCTAATTCGTATATTAAAGGAAAATCTGTTTTTAAAAAATGGTTTCAAAGACTCACTAAGACTGCAATCGCAAGCTTTTATAAAAACTGAAAAAATAAAATTATTAAAATTCTAACTTGCCCATTTTTCTCAAAGTCAAAAGTCTCTCTAAAATGCTTTAGGTTTAGATTTCAGGATTCTATCTAGAATCTAGTCTAGATCTAGTAGATCTAGATTAGACCTAGACTAGATCTAGGCCTTAGTTAGGAATAGTTCGTCGTCTGCTGCTGCGATAAAAGAAACCCCTGAAACAGACTAGCTTGGGCCTACTTAGGCCTAACGTTGTTTGCTTTAAAGCACAAAAACTGATGACGTCATTTATTAGTAGGACTAGTCATGATAATAAATAGTTAGGGATGTGCAAGTTCTTTTGATTATTGCTTGAAAGTAGATGTATATCTACAGTTCAAATATTTAACATCTGTATCCTGAAAATAAATATTTCAAAGCACCTTATCAAGAAAACAATAATAGTTTCTAGAATCTAGATCTAGACTAGATCTAAAATTTTAGCTGCCTAACTGACCAACGCTAAAACTTCTGATCGAACTTGGATTTTTTGTGCACACCAGATTTCTCTCCCCTCTCCTCCCAAAGCTCTTAATTTTTTTTTCAGTCCATTTAGATCTAGACCAGGGGTCTCCAAACTGCGTCCCGCGATGTCCTCTCACCCGGCCCGCGGAGATCTTTTTGTCCACGGAAAAAAACGTTTTTTGGTGATGGCCGAGGAACTTTGCCCAGAAAAATTAAAGACATTCCTGGAAGAAACTGGCCCCCGAACTGAAATTTGATAGTTAATGCGGCCCTCGGACTGAAAAGTTTGGAGACCCCTGATCTAGACCAAGAAACCGGATCTAATGAAATTCAGAACGACACTTGACCATTCACTGAGAAAGAAGTTGTGTCGATTTAGCATCTTGAACAATTCTTATAGGCACTTGGGCGTAATCTGGTTTTCAAGCAAGAAAGGGAGAAATGACGGGGAGAAGGGTGGGGGGGGGGGGGGAGGAGTGTGTCAAAAACTAAAACAGGCACCAACATATTTCAGTTGTGTTTATATATATAGATACACACACGCATATATATATATATGCAGGTTAACTAACCCATGTTCACCCCCTTCCCCCTAATCACCCCCTAAATAAATTCTTGTCTATGTATAGGAGAGAGGTTGATTCCTGAATTTTTTTAATGATTTAGTAAATTGAAATTTGAGCAGCAATGAAAATGAGAAATGTTTTTTTTTTAAATGTCTGGTATTCTAACTGCTAAGTTTGTTATTCTAAGTTGTTATTCTTAATCAACTAAATGCTAAGTTTGTCTGTTATTCTAAGTGCTAAGTTTGTTATTCTAAATGCTAAGTTTGTCTGTTATTCCAAGTGTTTTTCCCTCCTCAACAGTTGGGGAGTGGTGTAACATCAAACATGGCTGTGATCATGGCTGTAGACCAGCCACCGTAGGTAACAAGGTGGAATGTTACTGCAGAACAGGATATTATTTACATTCCGATGGAAAAAGATGTTTGCGTGAGTAGTAAAATAACACTTTTTGTCGGATGACTAGATCAACTTGGTTTCACAGTTAAGCTGTGGGCCAATTTTATCATTTGTAAAAAATAGCCCACTTCTGATTGCTCTATAGACCTGAAATTTGGCATGCATGCTACTTTCGCCTAACAATTTCAGATGCAATCATAAAAACTAGCAATTAGAGACCGTAATTAGCTTAATTTAATTACGCCCCAAGGACCATAAAATTGAGGACATGATTTCTAAAGATACCGACAAGACTGGAGGCTTATCGACACAGTTACTTCGGCCCCAATCGATGTGAGCGCGCTGGCCGTGATCGTATAGTGGTTAGTACTTCTCGTTGTGGCCGCGACAACCCAGGTTCGAATCCTGGTCGCTCAAGATTTTTTTAGTCCGTGTATTTATAAACACTTAGTCAATTCATACTTAATCAAGTCATTAGATAAAGTAGAAAATAAACTATATAAAAAACTTTTTTAAAAACCACGTTTTTCATGTGTAGCAACGGACTAAAAAGGAGAAAATAAAATACTTAAAAAAAACTTTTTAAAAAACCACGTTTTTCTTGTGGACTAAAAAGTAGAAAATAACTATTTACATACATTTGATGACAAAAAACGTGGGTCGGGCAGATGGGTCGGGAAATTTGATGGTGAACGTACCCACGTTTTTTGTCATCAAATGTATGTAAATAGTTATTTTCTACTTTTTAGTCCACAAGAAAAACGTGGTTTTTTAAAAAGTTTTTTTTAAGTATTTTATTAAAAAGTAAAAAGTACCCTTTCAGACACTAAGAATAGGATCTGTATATCTTAATAAAATAAACATGACGTTTTAAAGAATGATGTTTTGTGACATTGTGTTTATAGGAAGTTGTGAACTAGGAAATGGAGGCTGTCAACACAAATGTAACAATACAAAAGACGGCCCAGTTTGCTCTTGTGCTCCAAGATACATCTTAAATCCAGATGCTAAAACCTGCACAGGTTAGATTTATTTAAACAAGACTAAATCATAGCAGTTAGTGTAGTGGTGGCCAACACTCCTTATTAACCATTCACAAATATTAATGAGTATTTCCCAAAATAAAATATTTACTATTTATTAAAATGGTGCTAGATCTATACATTCACAAATTACTAAATTGTATTGAATTTATTGGTAATGTGAAATTTCAAATAGTACCAAAATTATTTAAATTGCTATCTATTAGGTTGCAACTTTAACAAGCTTTGATCACTAAAATATTAATTTAATCACTTTGATAACTCCTGAAAATTATTTTGTTGTTTTGTCTTCTAAGCACTTTGATACTACTTTGAAATATTCAATCTATTTTTTATATAAATTGTATAAATACGGATTCTTACTTAAATCTAACAGAATATTCAATGTTTTATTCCTTTTATTAAAATGAACTTTTTAAACACGCTTAGGCACATATTATTAAAGATGATATTCATAAAACAATTAATTTTAAAAGTTTTTTTTTAATTTGAAAACAGAAAATGTATGATGCTAAAAATATTGTGTCCAACTAAGATTAAGATTTAGTACTCACACATTTGAGAGAAATGAATAGGCCTACACCAGAAACAAAATCATTATAAGGAAAGGCACACAATTACTGTGGAAACAGAACACTTTGTCATGAAGGATCTTTAAAGACTGGCATATAATCAGATCTACAAGAGGAAGCTTTAAGAAAAATGAAACTGAGTGTGCCAAACCAAGCCAGACTTTCACAATTTCCAATCTGTTTGCAGCTTCCTGCTCAGTAAATAATGGTGGCTGTGAAAGAAAATGTCTGGATACTTATCTTGGACCTAATTGCTCATGTCCAGAAGGTTTTAAGCTTCACCAAGATGGACGATCTTGCATAGGTGAGAAATTCACTTGTTCAACATTTAGTGGTGACCGGCTCATCACTCAGATACTGTCAACAGTCACATATTAGTTATACATTTTAATCTCCTAAGTATCCAGTACGTTAATGAAATGAGGGTGGTTGGTCACCACTGCTTTAAAAATTTTAGTTAGTATTTTATATATATTTCTTGTTGTCTAAGGCCTGACTTTTCAACTATCATGAGTTACATGTTTGTTATTCATTTTTACATATATGGAATGAACATTTTGGAATAATAAATTGAACAGTTAGTTGGATCCCATGGCATCGCTTCATTCATAAGCTGCCACAGCTGCTAAATTAGCTGCATCAAGATTCATACATTCATGGAAATAAAGGAAATGAAACCTGAAACAAGCATACAGTCCACCCACCTCACCTTAGCTAGCTACACCCCTATATGGGATATTATAGCTTAAATATTTTCTCTTAAAAAATTTATATATTTTAAAAATATGCTATCATTTAGATGTGGATGAATGTGAAAAAAAGACCGATGGTTGTTCTCACATGTGTGAAAATATAAAAGGAAGCTTTGAATGTGTTTGCCCTCCTGGCTACAAAGTCAGCTCAGATTACAAAACCTGTGTAGGTAAGAAACATTCTGTTTTCTTGATGAGGTAGCTATAGTCACCATTGCTTCTGTATCAGTGTCAACAACAACAAAACTAAAAGTGTATGATTAGTTTTGAATAATACAATGCTAAATCTAACTCTGTATTTGATATAATTCATTCAACAGATATTGATGAGTGCATTATGCCTTTAACCTGTGATCATAAGTGTGAAAATTTGCCAGGATCTTTCCAGTGCCATTGTAAAGAAGGTTATCAGCTATATGGCCAAACACACTGTGCAGGTAACATGCCAACAGATTTTCTTGAAAACTTTGTTTTACAAAACAACCAAGTAATAGCAACTTTTTGAAAAAATGTTTTCAGTTCTAGCAATAAGAGTTGAGCTACATAGGCCTACTCTTATTTGTAACATTATCCCTAATGAAACTAAACAAATATGGATCATTGAAATATTATTTTGTTTTGTCTTGTCCATAAATTCATTTTTCTTTTCATAATCCAATTTTTGTCCAGACATCAATGAATGTGCTGTTAGAAATGGCAACTGTGCTCATACATGTGAAAACACTAATGGTAGCTACACCTGCTCATGCAATGCAGGTTACAAGCTGCATCAAAATAAACACGACTGTATAGGTAGGTTTTACCTTGTTAAATAGGCTCTATATGATGTTTATATTATGTGATCACTCTCTAAATAACATTATAATAACTTACTGTGTTACCATATATAGCCTTTAAAAAAATTGTTTTAATAAAATGTTATAGAACATTTATTTTACTACATCAGGAATGTTTTTATTTCTTTTCAAATACATGTGTTTAAAGATTTTTCATGCTGCTTTTGAAAAGAATCAAATAAAATAACTAGGTATTAATTAAAATGAATTTCAACAGTCTTACATTTTTCTTTCAACCAGATAGCAAACAGTGTTTAACCTTGCTTCAACAACCCAACTCAGACCTAACTTGTGTTCATGTGGCCCCTAAGGAACAACACTGTGTGATGACATGTGCTGATAATGCTTACCTTATCAGTGAGCATGGAGTCTTGAATGCCACATCATTATCTTTTAGGTGTGGCCCAAGTTCTAATTATAAATGGACAAACTTAGAAGAAGGAAAACTACCTAAGTGTTCTAGTATGTACTGAGCCTTATACTTTTTGCCCATTTTAAATTATAAAATACTTTCAAGTATTCATGAAGTAATAGGTGATTTAGTTATGGCTATACCTCCCCCTTACATCATGTTGGATATAATCAACATTTTTCCTTAAGAAAACTTGAGAAATAATGAATGGAGCACGATGTGGGTGTCTATGCAGGGATGTGTTGGGGGCTGTAAATGTTCTCTCCCCTAACTCCCCCATAAACCATAAAAATGACATGTTTCACATTGAGTTAAGCTATTGGTCAGAGTGTTGATTTCATTGCTTTGAGTTTCAAAACAATGTTTATCATAATGCACAATATTCTGTCCTAAAAGTTGATATGTAATATAAAAATATATAACCACTCCTTGACAAATTCCTACCTCAAATATCCCACACGCACATGTATCATAGCTGTCCTTATCTTTATAAAAACAATCGGTTTGAAAAAGGAATTTTCATAGTATTTCATATCCATAACATGGCAGATAATATCAGCTTTGCGAATTTTTATTTATTTCAGAAAAAGTAACAGCTCCAAGTTATACAAAAAAAGCTTCTTTTGTATTTATTCGAGATACATGTGACATCAAATTACAGGAGGTAGATATCATGAAAAAGAATTTATCAGACACTTTCAATTGTGAGTAGAAGTCGTATTTTTATTTCAAAATAGACATTAGCAGGGCTAGATATGAAAACACATTTTAGGTTGTAGCTTACCAAGCATGAAAAGGGTATTCTGAAAATCAATAAGAAACTTTCACTTTTTTAAAATCAGACTTTCTAAATATTTTTGCAGCAGACAAGTTTAAATGCAGCAACAGTTGTCAAATAAATACATTAGATCTTATGTGTGGATCCAAAAGAAAAAAATACAGACAAATGGTTAGAAAAAGTCGTAAATATTTGATAACAGCTGAATTTGAACTGCAGATGAATCCAAAACCATTAACTGGTATGTAAATTTTTAACTCTAAAAGTTGGAACTATCTAAAAGGGCTTTAATGTAAAGAAAAAAAAGAATATTTATCACTTTTCTACAATACATTCCATTTAAAGAATTGTGCTAGGAACAAAATGGTTTACAATAATTTTTAAAAATGTTAGCTTAGTGAAGCCGCTTGTTCCACATTTATTGCAATTACACTAAATGGTTTGGAAGCAGAGACTTTGGCAGAATTCACACTGTTTTTTAAAATATACAATGTTTATTATCAAAATCTTTGTAGGCTTAAGTGGTGGTGACTACTATAATAAAGAAGATAACATTTTTGTTTTTATTTTATTTTACAGATGGTTGTGATGTTGTATGCAGGTCTAAAAGAACACTGAGACGATTTAACAGAACACTGAAAAAAGCTAGACAAATATTCAAAAGAAATAAAATTTCACTTAGGTAATTCATTTGACTTTTTAACTTATTTTTAAAAAAAAACCTTTATTACTTTTAAAAATTTAACTTCTTGCAGTTAAAAACACAAACCTCGTGTTAATTAAGATCTGATTTTCTATTTGAACCAACTTTCAAAGTGGACTTAACTAGTAATTACCCCATGAACTTATTTTCAATAAAAACACCCTGGACACATAATATTTTCCAATATAATTTTTTCTAAATAAAAGATTTTTTTTTCTCATTTGAAATAAATTTCAAAACAAAATTATTATCATATTTTTATTTAATTCAAATTTAATATTTAAAATAAATGTAACAGTTTGAAAATAATTATACATTTTGTTTATATGTCAATAGATATCAAAATGAAGACTACAAGCCTATAAAAAAAAGCTTCAAGCCAGAAAATAAAACTGAAGTATTATGTCTAGAAGGATCACAACTAATAAACAATACATGCAGTAGGTGAATTTTTTCTTCTAATGTTAAGTCCTCATCCATCTCACTTCATCATATTATGTGAACTCTTAAAACTGGAAGTTAATAGAAACTAATTATTTTTAAGCCATTCTAAAAAACATTTATTATAAACAGTTGGCTGTTCTTTTGGAACATTTTATGACTCGGAAAAGAAGAAATGTCAGCCTTGTCCACGAGGTACTTATCAGGATAAAGAAGCTCAAACAACATGTAAGGAATGTCCAAACAGAAAGCCTGGATCAGGAATTGAAGGTGCAACTGTGAAAGAACAATGTGATGGTAGGCAAATTTTGATCTTTTTTTTGAATGGGTCAAATCCCAAGAAAAGTTTGATTACTATGTTAAAATCAAAAGATTGGAGATTGGCAATGGTATCCATTCAGGCAGGACTCAGCTGATTAAAAAAAAACTCAGACTACACATTTTTTATTTTTCCTGAAAAATAATTTATTTATAATATATTTAAAACAAGTTATTAAAATTAATAATTTTAAATCTAGTGTTCAGTAATTTTTTGAGAAAACTTTTAAGCCTATTCTCTTTTTTTTTTGTGTGATCAATTTCCTGTTAATACAGAATACATGTTTGGGTTTAAAAAAAAAAATTAAAATTTTTTAACACTAGAGCTCTGTGACCCTGGGACTTACTCAGCTTCAGGAAGAAAACCATGTTTAGCCTGTGGCATCGGAACATATCAGCCCAGTTATGGAAGAATCTCTTGTTTGCCATGTGGCGCAGAGTTTCGTACCAAGAATACAGGCAGTACAGGATTCCAAGACTGCCTAGCCCGAGGTTTCTATAATCAATACATTAACTTTATATTTAGAAATCAAAATTCACTTTTGTAAAAATTTACTTAGAATTCTCTAAATTAAAAAATTTCCAGTAGCTTTGTAAATTACGTTTGTGAAATACTAATCTCTCTTATGAAGGGATAACACGGTCAGCGCTATACAGAAAGAAGATTTTTTTTTACAAAAAGTAATACGTTTGTTCCTGTAAGTAGTTAATGATGCTTTAAAACACAGATATTAAATTTTGAAGCTTTACTTTTAATATTTTGTTTGTTCAGTGGTGTGTGAAGCTGGTTATTTCTACAACACAACAACTCACTCCTGCTCCATCTGTCCACGGGGCTCATACCAGCCTCAGCAAGGACAAGACTTCTGTTATTTATGTCCTGGAAAAACAATGACAGATTTTGAAGGTTCTAAGTTACAAGATGATTGTAAAGGTGGGATGTTGAAATTTGTAGTGGCTCTTGCTGAAAAAAAGTTAATAAACCCAGTTTACACAGTCTCGGAAGATATTTTTTACAAGTGTAACTAGTATTGTCTTATTATTTGTGACCTTCTTAGAATGTAATGAATAATAATTATAGATTACAAGGATTATTTGACAAAACAACAAAATCTGTTAATAAATTTAATGATTGTCAATTGCAGATCGGCTTTGTGGCCATCACATCACTGATTTCTATGGTGTTCTTGAGACTCCTAACTATCCTGGCAACTATCCAGTAAATGTGGAATGTGTGTGGAAGATTAAACCTGAAAGTAAACGAAGCATCCTCATCATCATTCCAAAGATTGAACTGCCAGAGCAACATGTGACTGGTGGAGTCGAATGTGGAGACTCCATCATTATGAGGAAATCAAGTAAGGAACAAAGAATATTTATGTGTGACTGTGTGTGTATGTATGTATATATATATATATATATATATATATATATATATATATATATATATATATATATATATATATATATATATATATATATATATATATATATATATATATATATATATATATATATATATATATATATATATATATATATATATATATATATATATATATATATATATATATATATATAAAATATGTTAACACTGATTCCTTGTATGGTGAAAACAGATTGAATGGCAATTAAACTGCCTGTGTCACGAGTTAAAAGTTTCTATCATAAATATACTCATACCTTGATATTTTGATTATCTTTAACCCTATTAAACTTCTAAAAACATAATCCCTTCTTTTTTTAAAAAAGAAAACCATCATAGTAAATACACATTTCAAGCTTGTGATCCACGCAAAAGGCCAATAGCATTTACAGCCAAATCTAAAAAACTATGGATTCAGTTCAAATCAGATGGTAACCATACAGCACAAGGCTTCTCAATCCCATTCGTTTTTTATGATGGTAGGAATTTTTTTTTTAAATTTCTTTAAATAAGTTTAAGCAAAAATATGGAGGAATTTAAAAAATTAGGCAATAAACGTTTTCCTAAAAAGAGCTAAACATTTTTTCCCAGCTGACTACCAAACTCTTATTGATGACATTGTAAAGGATGGTCGACTTTATAGTACTAACCAACATCAGCAAATATTCAAGGTACAATATTTTTTTAAAGTTTCAACACTAAAAATTTAATGTTTTCAGTAATCCGCTATAGTAGCAGCAACAGTATATTACTATTATTATTGTTAAAAAGTTGCACTTTTCTAATAATTAAAATGTGATATGTATACCGTAATAGCCTACTAACTGTGGTGAATCTATTCTCCCCAGGACCGCCAGTTGTTAACTGCACTACTAGAAGTTATAGCTTCACCATACAATTACTTGAAGTATGCCAATGTCTCTCACACAATGTTTCCACCATCCTTCTTTAAACTCCTGACCCCTAAAGTCAGGAAGTTTTTTCAGACTTAAAGGTTTGACTTTACAAGGTTTCTTAAACATTTAATAGAAAGTAGTTGGATGTTTGCAAAATAGGCCAGTGTGTACATTTATTTAGAAAATATAATAGAAAAATATAAATATATATTTTGTTTTTTAAAATGATAAAAATATTTTTTATATAGATTTATATATTTTACGCACTTAGCTATTTTATTCTGTCAAAGATTAAAAAAGTTTCTGGTTTAAATTTGAAATGATATTACCAATAATATATTTTCTTTTTTTTACTTTCTCGTATATACGTAGTATAGAGAAAGTATTGTAATCGTGCAAAAAAAAAAAATCGAGATTTTTACAAATCTCGACGTTTTACACCTCACTGATACGGAAAAACATAATTTTGCAATCTTGTCCGTATGTCTGTGTGTGTGTGTGTCTGTCTGTCTGTCTGTCTGTCCGTGTGTAAACACGATAACTTGAGTACCGTTACAGCTAGGTTGATGAAATTTCATATATAAGTATTTTATCAAAATCGTAGATCCGTATCAACTTTTGAGCGATTTCCGATAACCGGAAGTGGTACTTTTCCTACTTTGAATTTTTCAAAAGCCTATAACTTGAGTACTATTTCAGATAGATAAATGAAATTTCACATGTAAGTAAAAGATCTAATTCTCTACCTTCTGTTAAATTTTGAGTAATTTCCGTTGACTGGAAGTAGTAATTTACGCTACTTCCGATTTCTCAAAAAACTAATGTAAATTTTTAAAGTACTAATAATATTGCGCACTATTATACGCGTTTTTATTCGGCGTTTGCTTGGTGCGCAATGTTTTTTTTATGAGATTCTATTCTATTTTTAAAAGTTTAAGTATTTAAAATGGATTAAAAATCATAACTATATCCCCAGTTACCATCCCCTGTTGTTTTATATAAGAATATTCGAGAAAGTTTAGGGGAGATCACTACCGGTTTATTTAAAACAAAATATTGCATAATGATGCCATTATAAAAGGGTAAACATTGATAGTTATATGTATTTGAACTGTTGTTATTTTTTTTAAATACAATTTACTGGTGAACTGTGAAAGTATTGAATGATTGCTTTTTATCAATTGATATGTAGTTTTTATTAACAAAAGGATACATTTTATTGTTTTTAGTGTAATATGATAAAAGCTTTGTGAAAATAGTAATAAAATAAAAATTGTGTGTTGGAAAAATCTGAAGTGAAAATGAAAAATACATTTTAGTTGACAATATAAATGAAAAGAGAACAGGAAAGAATGAATGTTGTGCAGTGGCTGTGAATGTGAGTTAGTTATACCTGAAACAGGTGTGCTGCTTGTATTTGAAACAGGTGCAGCTGTTTCACAATACCTTTTATTCAAAGGTTACAGGAAGGACATCAAGAGTAAAAATAATACAAAAGACCCTTTGTTTTTATGTATTCATTTGCATAATTCTAATTTTTATGACCTTTATTGTGATCTATATTCCACTTGATAATTCAATTGTATCACATAATGTGGTAAAAGAATTGTTGACTTTTTCAGACTATCACTAAATGTAACAAGTATAATGGTGAAGTGAGCCATAGAATGTACATAGCCAAAAATTAACATATGCCAGAGCTGAGGTGCTTTAGTTACATAAACTTAATACAGTTGCTCAACTCTTTCAATGAAAATCTTGCAGTTCCAATACATTGATACAGCAGGTTTTTGTTATGATATACTTTAGTACTAACACCTGAGGATTTGCTTAACTTACCTCACTTGTATACAAGTTATGAACTAAAGAAGGCAATGCTTTAACACATTGTTTTCAGTGACATTACATACAGCCAAAAACCCTAGCTGATCTCACTACAAGAGAGACTACGTTTACCACCATATTTTGGAATTAGAATGACTGAATCCATTATTATATTATACAACAAGTTTATTCTATAAACTAATTGGACGTCTAGATTTCGTTTTCAGATAAACAGCTGTGTAGTTAAATTTACCTTAGTCACAACGTGTTTTGTTTCAACAAATTGTAAAATATAAATCTTCCAAATATGTTGTATGTTGAAATTTTTTGTTTATTCTTATTTTAAATTATCTATTAGTAATAGATCTATTGTTCTATAAGAAAAATACATTTAACACTGCTTATAAATAGTTGTCATTTTTTGCTGCATGAATAAACCATGAGTCACCAGAGGCAGTATCCCTGAGAAGAGTAAACAGAAATAACATAGGAAATAAAAGAACTAAGCATACAGTGGTATTTTTACAGATCTTTAATACATTAGGTCATTTGAAGTTAAAAACTTTGACATAAACATAAGCCAATAATCTTTCTCTCAACACTTTAAAACAATCTGTAGATTGGAAGTGTTTTTGTTGAGTATAATTGCATACATTACACAACCAAGATATTGGTAACATGAGGTGCAATTAAATCCCATCACAAGAAAATGGAAAAACATAAAAACTGAGTTCCCATCACAAGAAATTCATAGAACTTAGTTACTGAAAAACATAAAGTGAAAGTTCATCCCATTAATTTCAAGTGTAAATTAAATGCCTTGTGTTGAATTAAATAAAATCTATAACAAGATACCAGTAATCTGCATATATAAAGTAGCTTTAAGAATAACTTTGACCCAGATTTGTGTAGAAATGTTTCATCCTGGGACAGCCTAATCAAACAAAATCTATGTGGGTGGAAAAATGAGGTTGTCAGTTATTTGTTATCTTGAAGATCTGCTCAAGTAGGCATCACTGTGGGGTACTGGCTTTTGTGTAGGGTCTAATTTTAACGCAGTCATTTGAACAGCTATGTCAAACAGATAATCATAGCATTCGCACCTGGAAAATAGGAAAAATTAACTGAGTTTAGTCACTAAATAATACTGTAAAATAGTCTAAAAACTGAAGAAATATTTCCCCCTCCTCAAAACTAATATTGTTAAATAAAAGTGTTTTATGTTTTTAAAATATTTGTTACGTAAAGCTTACATTGTCTTAGCTTTCTCCCATGTGTCACCCCAGACATAAACCCCATGACGGCGTACAAGAACAGCACACGTATCTGGGTAGTCTTTCATTGCAAGAGCCATGGCATCCTTTAAAAAATCATCATCTAATTCATCTGCTAGCATAATGGTCTAATATTCATTCATTGCAATCAGAAAATCACTTTGGGAAAAGACAAAAAAAAACAAAATAATGAGGCCACAAGCAAGAGATAAACCAACCTTGAGATCTTCTTCATAAGGTGTATTTTCTACAATTGGCACTACTAACTCTTCATCATATCGGTAGTATTCTCCTGAATAAAAAAATAACAATGAAAATAGATAAAGCACCACATAAAATTTAAAAATAGGCTGATGTAAACAATCAACTGCAAGTGTTTAATGGCAGCAATGGTTAAAACTAAAAGGAATATACAGCTTGTTGAATGACAGTAAAGGATAATAAAAATCAACACAAAATTAGACCTGTTGAACATTTCTTGATGCCTTTTATCATTTCTTGGTGGGTGATTTTAAATTCTCGTCCAGGAAATAGAAGCGTTGCCAACACAGCCGCCTTTGAGTGGGTGTGTATAACACTGCCAGCATCTAGATATACCATTTTAAAGTTTTTTACTGCCACACAACTTTGATTATTGTAAAGGCCTTAGCTGGGTATAATTTTTTACATTAATTATAATAGAAGGATACACATGAGATGAAAAACACAAGAGAATTTGATCTCTATAACATGTTCAATCTTACTTAAAGTGTTTGAAAAATAAATTCTGAATGAAGACTGCTAGAACTAGACGCTCAGTCAAGATAATTAAACTTCTGCTTGTAGCCTGGTTTGGCCATGAGTACAGAGAATCAGTAAAGTATAGCAAAGGAATGCTCCCTCATGTTGATAAAACAAGCCTTTCATATCATGTTGACACAGAAATAGATTTATTTTACTTCAGCTATCACAAAATGTACATTTAGTTATAAGAAGGTATATTAGACACATTTAAACATCAATCAGTAAACAACTGCCATTTGGTTACTTACTTCTCATAGTATAGGCATTCATAAAGAGAGGGGTGCATTGGCTTTTTTTCAACTTTTTTGCAGGAGGAGGTGTTAAAATATCTTCTCCATCAATTGTTTGAACAAACAAATCTTCTGGCTGAAATTTCCAAAAATTTACTAAATGTAGACATAAGGTGGTCAGATGTCTTAAAATTTTTACCTTATTTATTTTCAGTCTAGTCAAAGTCAATTAATTTTAAACTTACCTTAATTCTTTCTTTTTGTACACCAGATGGTGCTATAAATATATTATCCCTACAGATTTAAAAAAAAATATATATGCAATGAAAATCTGGGCAATGTGCAACCTGACATCTATACACTAACAAATGACAATATTAATTCCCAGTCACAGTTTAATTTAGATAAAAATATGAAATAATAAGCAGACTCACCCATTTTTAATACTAATCCCACCTCCAGTGCCTGTTACCCAACCTAAATCATAGAACTGTTTACATAAAGATGGTATCAGATTTTTAGGATGCTCCTGTAATCAAAAGATAGAGCTGGTGTGAGTTTGGGACTACAGCGCCATAAGGAGAAGGGGGGGGGGGGGGGAGGGAGAGAGAATGAGGGTAACAAAAAATCCCCTGCAAAAAAAAAAATTTTCAAATTCGCAGGGCCGGTGCCCCAGCAGGGTGCGATTTGGTGTCACGGGTTGTCCTGTAAGCGCTATGGCTCATACGCTTGTTTTAAACAGCATGATAAGCTATGGATAAGATGGGGCCTTATAGTTGACGACAGTCGTTCACTAAATTGAATCAGTCGCAACTGTTGACGCCCCGTCAGAGTGCGATTAGGTGTCCTGGGCTTTCATGTGAGCATTATGGTGCACATGTTCGTTTTAATGAGTACCCTACAATATTGACATGGTGGCACTTTATGATTAAACCAAGCAAGGGGCTGTATGCGGCGCCCCTGTGGTAGTGTAACAGGGGCTCCAGAGAGAGCCCCCCCCCTACATCCTTGTTTGTTATAACTCACAATCACAGAGAGTGATTATGGCACACTCAAGGCTTTCATACAGCACACCCTGGAAATATAGTGCAGGCATTGTTTACATTTAATTATCTCAGAGTTAGAAATCATGGCATACATCTAAGAATATAGGATTGGTAACGCGATGATTGAAACCCTTTAAAAATATTGAGTCAGACTTTCTTCTGAGAATGCGGCAACACACAAGTTGGGGCAAATTAGTAACTGAAGGGCATATATAATATATAAGTTAGTAATTTGGGGACGGAGTGGCCTATGGTACAGAGCTGGACTGCTAACCCGTAAGTCTCTAGTTCGATTTCGGGTTCAAGTCAGTAGACTGTCCCTGAGTCCACCCAGCTCTGATGGGTACCTAACTCACATTAGGGTAAGTAAAGGCGGCTGGGCATAGGGCTGACATCTCTATCCCTCCATATGCCTAAGTCACAAAACAAGTGAACTCTACTTCAGTTGCCCTGCAGACCGTCAGGTTTGAAAGGGAACTTTACTCTTTTGATTTAATAGAAATTTGTTTCAATATCACCCTCTAGATTACTGAGAGATCGAGTATTTTACAAATTTGTAACAAATACTTTGAAACAATCAAATTCAACATACTACTACTACTACTACTAGTCTATTAAATTAATAGTATTACTATTAATGATTAAATATAATAATTATTAATGTATATAAATGATAGATTACCGATCTATATTATTACATATTGTGATATTATATTAGTGCATTAGGCATTAGTTAGGGCTAATAATATTATTAATTATTAATTAAAGTAATTATTTCATGATTTTACCTAATTATTAATAAAAGTTTAAAGTTTAGGCCTAATATAAATATATATAATATTATAATTAGGTATATATAGGCCTAGGCCTATTACCCTATCTATATATATATATATATATATATATATATATATATATATATATATATATATATATATAATTCTCTTCATGGAGACCATAGAAGACACCACGCAGCTTAGCCACCACCTGTCAGGTGAGCTGTGGTTCACCCCGAATGTTCACAATAGTAGAGCCGGTTCGGTTCGAATAAGTGACGGCTATTAAGGGCAGAGTTTCTTCCAGGCATCTCTTCGGGGGGGCAAAGCCCCCCCCCCCCCCCCCCCCCGAAAAATTTTTACCGCCCCCCCCCCCCCCCGAACGAAATGAAATTTATATAATTTATATAGAAAATATATACTTTTACAGTGTCCGCCCCCCCGAAGAAAGTTTACCGCCCCCCCGAAGATTTCAAGTGCCCCCCCCCCCCCCGGAGAAAAAAGTCTGGAAGACACACTGATTAAGGGCAGATAATTTAGTTTTTAAACAATTTGAAACTAAGGGGAAATTACAAGTTCTGCTTGATATTTTCATTATCGTCTGTAAACAGCTGCTTTCATTGGGCGGGATGGGGGGGGGGAGGAGTGGAGGTGGAGTGGGGGGAGAGGGAGGAGTGGGGGGGAGAGGGAGGAGTGGGGGGGGACGATCTGTCCGGGATTCAAAGGGACGACTCGAAATATCGTCCGAAAATAAAACAACTAGATAGCGGCGTATGCTACAATCGCGGGTCAGCTCGTTAATAATAATAAATAAAATATAAAAGCCTACCTCATCTGCTTCATTAAAAACGTATTTCAAATCCATCTTAAAACATAGATCTAGATCTAGATTACTTATAGTTTATACTAGATTCTAGACTAGATCTAGATAGTAGATTAGCTTATAAATTTGAAAACAAAATTATATTGGAATAGTTTTAGATCTACAGCCTGGTCTATTAATTAGTCATAATCATTATGGATTAACCTATCTATGCTATTATTAATTACGTTAACAATTAGATCTGAGTTTGAGTAGCATACAGTTTTAAAAACTATACGGGTTAAAGGTTAAATAATATGCCAATTTGAGCTTGCAAAAAGTTTAGCTTACAATTTGCCAATTGGAGTTTGACCTTCAATTTTCCTGGCTATGTGTAAAAATGGCAACCTCTGTTACGAAGATCTACTGTCGACTAACAACAAATAAAATATCGCTATTTCCTCAGTTAAATAATTTTCGAATCAAGAATAAAGCATCGCAATGTATGCTAAGAAGTCATTTTCACGATGGCCCTGCATTGTATGGTTAGTGCTCTTTACATGCACAAAATAACATTGTGAATGCCCCATCGCCCATCATTGTTGAATGTTGATGTTTGTTATTAAAATTAATAGACTAGATCTAGATTCTAGATCTAGCTAGATCTAGATTCTAGTAAAAAAATACTTATACTTAGATCTATGCCTTATTTATAAATATAAGTTATAGGCTTACTAGATCTCTAGATCTTTTCACTATCACTATGTCATGAGTATGTCTAGATAAGTCTAGTAGTAGTAATAGTACAACTATAACTAAAAATTTAAAGTCCTACTGCTACACCGTCACCATCATACAGGAAATAGGCCTATGTATTACTATGTAATTTCAGTATAAAATAAATGAGTTAATTAACTAGAGGAGCTTACACTTTTCGGACACACATAGCGAAAAAACGCAACGTAAAAATTCCATGCGGTCTCATTCAGTAACCGCTTAACATAGAAAACAAAAAAAAGTATCATATCTATCCGCAACCATTCTACTTTAATAATGTGTGTGTCATTTTGTATTCATACGCATAGAACTTAAGCTATTCTTGTTATAGTGACTGGGGGGTCTTAACGTGTGTTCGAACACATGTAATACAGTTTTACATGTGTTCGGACACCTTTACCCGTCATCGGACATAGCACTTTTTGTTCATTTAGAATAATTTAAAGTCAATTTAATGAATAAAAACATATATTATATGCATGTATATTGTATTATTGATTGTTTGTGAGGTAATTTTAATAGTATAAAACCTTTTTCCCACACTCCCAAAGTTCATCCCATTCAGCCATTGCGGCTCGCGCAGTACGCTGCTAAGCCAGCCAGGTCACATGATTCCCCCTCCTCTTTCGCATTCCACTGCCTTCTTGACCTTATTTTGACCCTTTCCCTTCAATAACCAGCCCCTTTTATGCTCTAAATTCTTATTTAGTAATATTTTTGTGTTGCTGTCCGCTCCCATGTAAGGCCAAATAAGTTAGCGAACACCCCTTTTTTATTGTTCAAGCACAAAAAAACCCATTAACCTTGACATTTACGATGTTCCATACATATATAGAAGCTATTTATAGTGTAACCTTTTAGCTAAGCATTGATTGGTTCAAGTTTTGCCCCTAAGTCCAACCCTAGGTCACTTCATCCGGCTGGTGTAAAAATAGAAATGTGCGTACCATGCAACGTTAAAAAATTTCTAAAAATAATTCTTGAGAAAGGAAACGGAAGTACTTGACACGGAAGTGTTCATAAATGAACAGTTTACGTGCAGGCGCCGTGGTTTCGCGTGAGACATGCTAATTAAAGTTTCTATGAGCCAAAAACCGACGAAGTGTTCGCTCCTACGTAATTTTTGGTGTGTGTCCGAAAAGTGTAAACTCCTCTATTTAAATATTGCTAATGATAGTTAATGTTAAGGCATGATACACAACTGAAAGGAGATTGTTTATGTTATTGTTTTGAGTTTATTATAACGAAGTGTCTACTCGGAATAAGATTTTTCGGCAAAAGATAGTTCTGCGCATGCGCAGTGACCTATGGCTAGGGTTAGGGCTAGAATGAGGGTTAGGGGTAGGATTAGGGATAGGATTAGGGCAAGGGTTAGGGTTAGGGATAGGGTTAAGGATAGGATTAGGGTTGGTATTAGGGTTCTGCGGTTGTAAACACACGCATGCGCAGTACCATCGAAAACATCGCCGCTAAGTCGTAGTTTCTCTCCATTGCGCATGCGTATCGCATGCGTATCTTATTCCGACTAGAATCGGCCTTATTATTATTAACTCATTGCAACAAGCCTGCCAGTTGGTTGAGGCCACGCCGGAGGCACGTTCTCACCAGGATTCAAAGGGACGACTCGAAATATTGTTCCAAATACCTTGTAGGCTATGTTAAACATGTTACAGTCTTGGTTCCAGTTCTTAACTTGTGATATCATCTTTTTGTCCCAAGACACATGGGGACGTCACAGAAACCTCCCTCCACTTTTGTCAGTCACTGACAATTTCCTGGCAGTCCCCCATGATAGTCCTGCCTCTGCCAGCTGCTTCCCTGCCATGCGCCTCCATGTCTCCCTTGGCCTTTTTGCTTTCTTTTTCCTTGAGGTGTCCAGTTTAGCGTCATTCCTGCAATGTCTTCATTATTAATTCTTAGGATGTGCCCCATCCATCGCCATCTTCTTTTTTTCACTTATTTCAAATGTAACTGAAAATCGCATCAAAATGTCAACTTTAATAATCCGATCTTGAATTGATTTAACCATTTAATCCCTTTTAGTAAATTATTGACTTTTCTACAGCAATTAACCTACCACCTAATAAGAGAGAATATGACAATAGTCCAATGATAAACATAAGTGAACTAACAAAATAGATTAAGTCAGACAGTTAATTTAGGACAGTTTGTATTGAGGGGATATAACTAAAAGTCAGTGATGTCTAAAAAATGTTAGGTAGCTATATTAATATTAGTATCCTACAAATATCAAAATTTATATTATTTTATATTTTATTCAATTTACTTACTAATGTATTCAATTTACTTACTAATTTTGTAGCAACAATAAAACTTGACATGCCATCTCTGTCTCCAACAATGGAAAAAGGAAATATTGTCAAATGGCACAAAAAAGAAGGTAGGCCTTCTATTGCAGAGTATTTACCATATTTGTATTATCATTGTAAATTAATCAAAATAAAATTGTAACTAATGTATTACAAAATAAAGCAGTTTTTCTGCTAGTTTTCTGTATTTCAAAACATCAGGTAGCAGTAGGTAAGAGTTTTCAAAATATTTTTTTTATTCTTTATGAAGCGATCTAACTTATTTTGTTTACATTTAAGGGGATACAATTTCACCTGGTGATGTTCTATGTGAAGTCGAAACAGATAAAGCTATTGTTGCCATGGATACTGAGCTAGAAGGAGTACTTGCCAAAATTCTTGTAAGCTCATTTTGAAAGGAAGTAGAAATATACATTTAGTTTTTTTTCACAGTTTTAAAAAAAATAAGTATATCTATGGTAAATATCACAATTTTCTAAACAGGTGCATAATCTATAAAATATTTAAGGATAGACTTCATTTAATCTATACAAAGTCTCTTAATAACTTTTCATAAAATGTTCATTATAAAAATATTTTGTTTAGGTTCCTGATAAGACTGCAGATGTTCCTGTGGGAAGTTTGATTGCTTTAATGGTGGAGGAAGGTGATGACTGGAAGAAAGTGGAGATTCCTGCAGGGGCTGGGTTAAAATCACCAGCATCACCTTCCCAGTCCGCCAGTGTTTCTGCTCCAGCCTCTTCTGGTGCTAAACCTGCAGAACATGGGTATGTATGTGAGTAGGATACACCACAACAAAGAGTAGGCATCTTTCATCTCTGTTAGAATGTCTGTTCACTTTCATAACAGCATTTCTAAATTTCTAGGCATCTGGTTGGACCTTCAGTAAAGAAATTGCTGCAAGAATATAACATAAGCTCAGCTTCTGTAAAACCATCTGGACCTTCTGGAGCACTTCTAAAAGGGTGTGTTGCTTTGTACATTTTTTAAACCTATAGTATACTATTTTAATTTATAAATGGTAGTAAATGAGATGGGGGGGGGGGGGGGGGGGCATTGAACCTCTGTAATTTACCTTTACTTTTAAAAAAACTACATGTTTGCATGGTGCTGTTGATAGGTTTTCTCAGATTTTGGAACCAAGTTATGAGCATGAATAATATATTTTATTGATATTCGAACCATTTATTTTCTTGTTTCAGGGATGTTTTGAACTACATTGAATCAAAAAACTTAAACAAAGTTCCACAAGTTGCTCCTGCAGTACCTGTTGTAGAACAAAGTCCAGCTGCTCAACCAACCACACCTCAAACCCTTACCTCAGCTGGGAACTATGTTGATATTCCGTTAAGCAACATGAGAAGAACTATTGCTAGAAGACTTACTGAGTCAAAGGTTAGTTTAGTTCCCAATTTTCCTATACCTTTCTCTGTGTGTATATTTTTATCATACAATTGAACTCATTGTTATTTCAGTCAACTATTCCTCATGCTTATGCATCAATTGATTCTGACCTGGGAGCTTTAACAACACTGAGAGCAGATTTAGCTGCCTCTGGAATGAAAGTTTCTGTCAATGATTTTATTATTAAAGCTGCTGCTCTGACACTACAGGTACTGGATCAGATTACTTGAAATATTAATGAGATTACTTTCAAAATAATTAATGTGAATATTATGTTAACATATGAATGTAATGTTAGTCATTTTATTTAAACCCTTGTACAAGTAAAAAACAGGGAGCAGTGTTTCAAGACTTTGAAAAACAATTTTACTAAGTTAAAATTATTCCTTAAAAAATGGCAGCCGTTCATTTTTATGTTTATTGTCTTGAAAATGTATGGTTTAAAAATTAGTGTGTAATGTATTTATACATTGTCCTTTTGCCCCAATTATCACCCAAAGTTCTTATTCTCATTTTTGTTCTTCTCTTCTGTTAACAGAGGAACCCAAGGATAAATGCTATTTGGGCTAATGATGGTCCTCAATTGTCTTCATCAGTTGATATTTCTGTAGCTGTTGCTACACCTAATGGGCTAATCACACCTGTAGTTAAAGGCGCCAATTATTTAGCTGTAAATGATATAGGAAGTATAGTAAAGGTAAATCTTATTTTAAAAGTTTCTCCGAACCCTGCAGTCACCAGCCTACTGGTTATGAACTTTAAAACTAAATAAACCAGAATTTCAACTAGATGACACTATATTCAATTATTTTAAATATGAAGTTCTAAGTTTTGTAGCAAGGAGAGAAGTAATATTAACATGTCTTGTTGAGTTGCTTTAGAAATTTTAACTTAGTCACTGGTCATGTACTTAATTTAATAAAATATGGAAGACTTGTTGGTCAAATGATGGGAGTTAATTAAAAAACCTGATTTGTTCCCCATTATAGTTATAGAACGTGTTTAGTTGCAATACCCAAATATATTTTATTTCAGGAGCTCTCTGGTAGAGCAAGAGAAGGCAAACTACAACCTCATGAGTATCAGGGTGGAAGCTTTAGGTAACTCTTCTTAGTACTTTATCCTTTTAAAATCTTAACCCTTTTTTGTTTTGTAGATGTACTTGTCAACTATTTTTTATTACAGTATTTCCAATCTGGGCATGTTTGGTATAACAGAATTTACGGCAGTCATCAACCCACCACAGTTAGCCATTTTGGCAGTAGGAACCTCACGCAAACAAGCAACCATGAATGGCAATGTTTTAAAAATGACAGTAACTATGTCTTACGACAGTCGGGCTGTCAACGAAGCTGAAGCAACACTCTTCCTAGAAGAATTTCGTTATATTTTAGAGCATCCTAAAACTATGATAATGGGTTCAAAACTAGACCCTGCAAAAGAAGCTTTTGCATTTTAAGTTATTAATTTGATTTATAAGTGATATTTTGTTTAACATGTTTAGGTTAGTGCATTTATGTTTATTCTGTGTTAAGTACTTGAAACTTTTAAAATACCTCAAAGACTAAGTTAATTATTTTGAAAAATTATCTCAGATTACACTATTTATCAAGTGTTTATTATATAATTATCCCATTGGAGTATTTTTTTTTTGAGGGGTCTTAAAATGATTAATGAACTTGTCTTGTGTATTGCTTACTTTAAGTTGTCAAAAAACAAGTCAAACTGTGAAAGCAATAAAATTCTCTAGTACTCTTAAAAAAAAAGCTCCTAATTTTATTTTACTTTTAATATGTAAATATGTAGAAAAAAATTGAGTATCTTTTCAACTTACGGTTGGGATGTTTGCATATCTGATAGTACTAACAGTGTTAGCCATTAATACTTGCAAACTAATACATTTTAGTAAAATGCAATAGTCTTATTTGTAGGCTACATTCGCATGCATTAAAATTTAAACATGATTTCAAATTGTCTAGAAAAGCACAAACTATAAAAAAAAATGATTTTTTAAAAACTGCAGTGAGAAACAATGCATGTGGGCTGCTGTTACATTTATTTAAAAAGTTGATGTAAAAATACAGAAATAAACTGTTTATAATATTGTCTTGATGCTATCTTTTCCTTATGTCATTTAATGATTTCATTCAAATTGGGAAATAAAGCATTTAAATATCAGCAAAACAGAAATGGTAATGATATTCCTTCCAAAAATTAAGGCAAGCCACTTAAAGAAATGTGCAAACAATCATTTACAAAATACATTTATTGATGTGCATACATGGTATTTGGAAGGACTACATTGTCGCATAAAAGTTAAAAATAGATAACATGGTAAAATATATCCAGCTGATTAACAATTCCAACAAGGTAAAACTACACGTTATATTTCATCATTCACATAGAAAATACTAATCTACTTCTAGCTGTAGATTATGCTGACTTCAGATGATAATTGAACATTTTTTTACTTTGGTGTTGTCAGAAATTTAGTATAAATAATAAAATGGTAAGGGCACTGAAATAACAGCAACAGAACTGCCAGCATGCTTTGGTGCAAATAAACGTACGCAGGCAATAAAAGCAATCATAAAAAAACCATCTGTAGTTAATAGATCTAAACAAATTTTAACTGTATTTAACATTTACAAGACCAGCCACTTAAATCTGTGTTGTCTTAACAAATTCCAAAGTCACAGCCAGAGTTTACTTGCAAGACAAAAAGTGTTTAAATCAATAGAATATTCTTTCATTAAAATAAACCTAACCAAACTAGGCAGCATTGTAAATAATAAGAATACAGAGAACAAGTTTAAATATCAATAGATCAAGCACGCTAAAGAAAACAAAAATTTCAAAATTAACTTAACTGATGACAAAGTATGGTTTATATTTGTTAGTTAAACACAAAAACATGTTAAAAACCATTATAAAATTTTAAACATTACTTAATTGAAAAATAATGTCCAACAATTATTTGCTTTGAACCCTTAGATGAACATTAAAAAGAAACATTTATCACCCTAAACAATCAAAATAAGTTTTATGACTAGTAAGCTGTTGTCACCAATCTAACACCAACAAGATAGTATACATTGATACATTTAGAATTTCAATAACCTATTGAAACATAAGTAGATCTAGCTGCATACCTATGTTAGTTATCAATGGTAATCAATAATAAATTTTGTTCCAAATCTTTCACTAGCTACTTGTCAATATTTTATGAAAATATAAGTAATGTTAAATCTATTTTTGCATAGTTCATTTTTTAGTGTTGGCTTAAGGTTGGCATTGTATATATTTTTAGAGCAATATTTCATGCATCATATAATTGATTTGAACAACTGAAATTAGAAATGATGTAAATTTTTTAAATAAAAATTCTTATAGTTTTTTAGACATTAAAAAAAAAAAAATGCAGGTCTAATGTTGATAATTGAAAACAATAAACAATACCTGAGTATAAATATTGTTTCGTACTCTACCTTTTTAGTAAACAATACTTTAAACAAAGAAAATTAATAACTTCCAAAAGTTATAAAATACTAATATATTTAAGCCTTGCTTTCAACAATTAATCTCTAGTTTTTTTTTATTTTTACAAAGCAGTCCTGAACCCTAAAAATAATAATTTAAACTAAAGACTATCAAACTAAATGCTGTTTAAGGGTAGACACCACGGATAGAATTTTTTTTTTAATTTAACACATTTCTGGGTATTTAATAAGTACATATGTTAGTAGTTGTTAAACTATTGACAAAAATAATATGTGGCCGTCAATAGCAGTACTGGTTGCCATGGGAACCGCGAAAAGGTGTGAAAACTAACACCTTTTCAAATCGCTAAGGCTTTGTTCCCATAAGCAATTTTGTAAAGCGGATGAAAGATTTAGATTTACGAAACCAAACTATACATTTCTACGTTTGTTCATTGCGATAGCTAGTACTCAATTTTTATTACAAATTTTTACGTAAATTTAAGTACAAAAATTAGGGGGTGGTATAACATAAGTATTGATATTTTCTAAAGTATTGTTGTAAACTTAATGTACAAACGTAGTTTTGTAGATGGTATAATGCTAAATGCATGTGGAATGTTTCAGTGCTGTAAGACTAAGGGTTCCAAAGCCTTAGCGATTTGAATGTTGAATTTTGAGTAAAAATGCAAAGTTGAGAAAACGTGAAAAGAAAGGCAGAAAAAGGCACTGTGCGTTTCCTCTTATAGCAAACAGAAAATGACTTCTTGTTATGTGTGGAAGAACCATTTGGCTAATAAAATACGCGTTGATTCATGTTGTAAGTTTTAGATAGATTTTTCTGCGTAAGCAGAAAATATGCATACAACAGAAAATAAATTAATGACTGTTAAGTCTTAAACATCCTATCATTTGATTGTTATTCTCAGAACAGCTATCATCAAACCAGATTAAGTTTTGTTTGTTAGCCGGTCTTCTCACGTCAATAGAATGTCTATTGTAGCTTACACAAGTTTATTGCCTTATGATAATAGCCTACTACACAACGCTGGGTACAACGCTTGAGGTTAGACACGCCCCTTCACCCCACCCCACCGCTGGATAGTGCGTGAAGAACCGATGAGCCATAGATTACCAATGTTCATTCAACCGTGAATAACATGTCTGTGTAGATAGGGTCAAGTACAAGGCCTAAGTGAATGCTTATTAGCTATCCCATCTAGTATTTCCATTCGTTGCTAGCAAACCCTGTACGGAGAGATGGGCGGGCATACACATTAACACATGTGTCGTATACAGTCCGGTGTAAAGCCTGATGAACGCGTTCAAGCCTATCACAGCATGCCGTAACTAGATTATAAAACAGCCGTTGGTTGAATGGCGAGAAGGGGATGAGGGGGAAAAAGGGATGGACTTAGTACATTCTTCAAACTGATAGACATGTCCATGACGCATTGTTTCAGCTTAGTATAATAAAGCGTACGAAACAGTGTTTAATAGTGTTCCAGTGACAATCAACAGAACATGTGTTGGTAAAGTTTCAATTATTAAACTTAATGTTGTTCTATAACTTTAAAACAACAAATAGAAGAGTATACGCTAATGATGTAAACAAACAAGACAGGTGATTGTTTTGTTTATCTAGAAACAAGATGGCTGCCTTGCACACGTGGTTAGTTGCAACCTATCGCAGATTATTTTGATTTACTGTACTATTGTATGATTGGTCAAACGTATCAATGAATCTCTTCCCATTCATAATTTTTACGCACATGCCCATATATGGACTTTGACATCAAATTTTACTTGGTAGAAAACAACGTTTATCCCACTTATTTGTAGAACAAAAGAAAAAGTCACTACACCAGCGGGTACACGAGTGCTTGGCCCTTAGATTGCTGTAAAGTTTATGGTGCCTCGCGGGCAATAAATGATGTAATACTCGCTCGAAGATAGCCGCTGTCCACGTAGTAGTGTGAAAACTTGCCGGGGGGTACCATGTTTCACATGGCAATAAACGGATAACCGTAAGGCGTAGAAGTCCGAAATGTTCGGGTTAGATAGATAAAAGGTATTAGTACCGAATTAAGAAATAAAAATTTTGGGGAGCAAAATTATTTTTTTATCGAAAACATGGGTATCTTGTATCCTTAAAAAGAACTAGCAATAAAATTTATTATGAAAAAATACATGAATACAAAAATTTTAAATAAAACATGTTCTAACACAGTATCAGAGTAAACAGCGTGAAATTTTAAACCAAAATTATTTACATTGTTTGAATTTCCTAGATCATAAAATCAATGTAAAGTTTGAAAACAGTATTTACTTAAGTATCTTATTAAGCAGTGTAATTATCCACACATTTTATTATGTTAATGAATTCAAGAAAAATGTACATAATTCTACAAAAATGAACTAGTTAGTACAGCTACAAATATCTTACAAAAATAAAAACAATCATTAAATACATTATTATTACAGAGAGCAATTAGCTATCCAATGTTGTACAGTTTAATAGTCTAAAACAATTCATAATCTGAAGTGTTTAATGTCTTGTAGGTAAATAATCCTAATGAATCACAAATATATTGAACTGCATCTCATGAACAAAAGAAAACTGAAGCGCAAAAGCAATAATAAAAACTTGATCATGAAAGAAAAGAAGCTTCAGCGTTATAGTTTTGATGGAATGACTAAATATCTTAGGTAACTGTTAACTTATCTAAAATAAAAAATAAAAAGTAGAAGCAGAGTTGATACGTCCATTTGTTATTTTCCCTCAATGTGTTTCAGTGACATATTCTTTCTGTCATATCTCTCTGAAATGTTTAAAATATCATTAGAGTAGTTACAACTTGTAGGGATGAAACTGTGAAATCAACCAAAGATCAGATTATTAAAGTTGACATTTTGATGCCATTTTCAGATACATTTGAAATAATTGAAAAAAAAAAAAAAAGATGGCGATGGATGGGGCACATCCGAAGAATTAATCCAGAAGACATTGCAGGATTGCGCTAAACTGGACGCCTCAAGGAAAAAGAAAGCAAGGAAGACTTGGAGGCGAAAAGCGGGAAAGCAGCTAGCAGAGGCAGGACTATTGCCAGTGACTGACAAAAGTGGAGGGAGCTTTCAGTGGTGGCCCCATGTGACTTGGGCACAAAAAGATGATGATATAACAAGTTAAGAACTGTAACCAAGACTGTAACATGTTTAACATAGCCTACAAGGTATTTGAATTTATATTGGATATAATGGTGATTGCACCACATGCTGGGATGGCTTAATTTAGATTCTGTTGTATGATGTTAGGAAGAAAATAATATGGACAAGTAGTAGGCTCATCCAGCAGGCATATAGAGATTTGTTTGTGGAAGCAAATTATTGTATCACTATAAATTATCTTGATCTAAAGATCTAATTATATTGAAATATTATTTAAAATACTTAAAAATCTAAAATAAATGAATAATCATAAAAATGTGTAGGTTATATTTACCAATGGTTCCAGCTCTTTCTTATCAATCAGATTATATTCAGTAACAAAGTAGTAGAAATGTTTGTAACAAGTGTTGACATGAGCCTCCTGGAATAAAAAAAAAATAAGTTACTTTATGTAGGTAAAAAAATGTGTTTTATCCCAATAATTATAATGTTAGATTCTACAGAAAACAGTAAGAATAATACAAAATAATATCAATAAAACTAATTGAAAAAATTCACATTTATCTAGCAATGAAATAACATTTTACTTACAGCACCAATAGCCAAAAGTTTATCAAAGTGATGTATGTAAACATGTACAAAAACTCTGAACAATCGTTTCAAAATTTTTTTAGCAATACTCATGTAGTTTTTAGGAAAGGGTTTACCTGTAAGTAAAAAATTGGCATTTAGTAAATAGAATCTAGATAATCATAATGCATTTTGATTATTCCTACATTGAGAATCAAATCAACTGACCAATCTGGGCAGGAAAAAGATTTTCATCATTTATCTGTGCCTCAACCCATTCCATGAGTAACGTAATGTACTGTGGAGCTGGTAAAGCTGTTGGTCTTTTATAGTTAACTCCATCGCACCAATGATATTCATATCTATAATTTTAAAAATTGTACCTTTCATAAGATATATGAATACAATAATTTTAATTCTGCTAATTTCAAACAGGTTTCCTAAGCAAACAGAGGTATTACTGTTTTAAATAAAGAAAATAGTTACTTAGGCCCTCCAGACATTGTTGGACATGACTGCTCTGTACAGTGTTCAAAAATTGTACCATAAAGCAGATTGATTCTATTAAAAAAATCGACAACTGTAATATAAAAAGTTTGATTGAAAAATAAAATCCATAATTAATCAAGAAAGTTTTTTAGAAAGTAAAGTAAAACAAAATTGAGATTTTGCTTTTTTAAAACCTCTGATTTAAAGAAATATTAATTATTTAATGGTCTATGAAATAATTAGGCAATTCAAGATATAAAATATACAGTTTATGGAATTAGTCATGAAACAATCAAGAACATTCAGTACAAATTCTCACCATGGACTGCTATCCAGTCATTGACATCTTCACCTGGAGGTAGCTTAACTACTTCTTTCAGATCAATCCCAGAGTTTAAAGAAGCATTGGCTTGCTTGTGTAAGTTATACTTCAATGTTCCACTCTCAAATCTCTTCTTAGGTTTAAAGGTCTACAAACAATAAGTTAAATATCAAACTAAGACCTGTAGCAAAATACAAAATAGCAGCCAATAGAGAAGGATATTATTATTAAGGCCTGTAAATGAAGATGGATTGGTCACACACTAAGAAGGGAAGAATGGAAGAAGGAAAGGAGATCGTGGAGAAGAACGGTAGAGGAAGAGGCAAAGACTGCAGGGATCACTTGGGATCACTACAGTACAGTTACTACACACTAACTACACTCAACTACTCAACTTTTTTATACTTTTACTTTTACACACTGATTGAGTCTTTGAGTACACACCTCAATTGGTAATCTATCGTTTTGGGTACGTAAAATCGCCCGCGACTTGTAATGTGAAAACCAGGTGACTCCTTAAATTTTAATAATTATTTCACATTTTGAGGAGGATTTATGTTTTTTAAAATACAAAAATGTTTCCTTGTTTCATTTATGTACGTGTTTTTAAACAATTGAATTAAAACTTTTCAGTAATAAATGAAGACTAGCGATGTTTCCAACAGATGCAACCATGCTCATTTACTAGAGCAGCCATCTTGTTTAAGTTTTATTTTTATAAGCTTTTAGCGCCAGGTTCAGGGGGAAGCCACTCTATTTTACAAATGGCTGCTGTTTATATAGCAAATCTTGCTCTCAGACACTGCTGTTTAAAGTTAATTTCTGGCCTATATTGATATATTTAGCCATTGATTTAGGTTTATTATTCATTTATCTATAATATTTGACACAAACATATGACAATATACTTCTATTAAAGCCTTGACAATGAGGTAACGTTTTCGTACATTAATAGCCGCGGGCGATTTTACGTACCCAAAACGATAGATTACCCCTCAATTCACTAATAGATCTAGATCTAGATCTAAATCTAGTAAACACTTAACATGTAGAATCTAGATCTAGATCTAGGATCTATATTTTTTATCAAATAATCAAACTGTAAAAATTAGATCTAAATTAAATTAAAGATAAAAAAGAATACCTTATCTTTGGCAAAAAACTGAGCGAAGGCTTGCCTAGCTGCAGCCATCTTGTTAAGTTGAATTGGCCAGTTTGAATATTATTTTTCTCGACAAAGAGCTAGATTTAGATCTAGAGATTAGAGCCCAGGCCTACTGCTATCTAAAAATCTGACTAGTCTAGATGCAAACATCCGGTATTTTTCAATAGAGATCCGGTAAAAACAATAGATTTGACTTGATATCCTGTGTAAATTTACTGTATGATTCTAGAATATTAATTAGATTCTTTAATTTAACAGTAGGCTAACTGCACAACTGTTCATTCACTGCAATAGATCAAGAATAATTCTAGAAAATAGTTGTGATCAATGGCTGCCCTTACTGTGAAGGAGCTCGCATCTTTGCTCAGGTATGCCCAACTTCCCCAACTCAACTGGCACTGCATCACAATCACATAAGTAAGATGAATCATTCAATGTGCTGGTCTCTTCCCTTGATGAACTGATCAGAATGAGAATACCTAATAAAAGTAGAAATTTGCTTATTAATGTCAGAATTAAGGACTGAAATTTTATTACTTGCACTTCTACATACATAACATTATAATTATAATATGAATAATATGACCTTAGCTTTTTAGGGGCTTAGTTAGAGTTAGAGCTATCTTTCTTTTTTTTAAAAGTAATCACTAGGCTAACTACTAACCTTTCTCGTTGATATTTTCAGTGTTTTATCAGAGGATGCAACACAAGCTCAGTCATTTGAAACCCTGGCTAATTCATTTCATCATTATTTCACCAACAAACATGATCATTTTAAAGTTGGTCAAGCTCTGGTAATTCCATTCTAATAATTCATTTCAAAGCTTATAGGCCTAACATTGGTAAACAAGTTCTAGACAAGTACACCAATTTTTATTTTGAGTGATCATTTATTATTATATTTTTTTTTAGGTTTTGCTACTACAACATCGAGATTTGCTTCCACACCCAACACAAAAATTAGCTGCTGTGTTCATACTTTATGAGATGTATAAAACAGATCCAGTTTCAGCAAATCCATTTGCTGCAGTTTTTCTTAACCTTTTAGTAAGATACTTGTCAGTTACAATTATGTTTAATACATGCTATATGTGTAAGTACTATAAAACTTTAATTTAAAATATTAAAGCTATAACCTTACATACTTAACTATTAGAGAAAAAATATTAGCATCTGCACTAGAACACTACTTTTACTATGTTTATTTTCAAGCAAGAAACTACAGAAAGAAAGGAGCCAAATCCGTATGATCTACAATCATCAATACCTCCAGTGTCTGCAGCAGAAAGATATTTTCTATCTAATCTTGTCACAAGTACTTCAAAAGAGGTAATATACATTTTTTCAGCACTCTGGCCTTTATTAAGATATTAATTCAGTTTTTTTCATAACTTTTTCTCTTTTATTAACCAAGCACTATACTCCTTTTAAATTATATTTTTTAACCTGCACTTTTTTATGTTTTCAGTTGTTAAAAAAAACACCAGCTCAAATCATTCAAATGGATGTGACAGGTAAACAGCCAATGGATATTAGTCAAACACAACTATTCATTGTGCAAAGACAGTCAGAAATGCCACACACAAGCAAGACAGCAATGAGCTGTGTGTTAGCTGACCCTGAAACAAAACCCACCAGGTAAGTCTTGAAACTAAACCTATCAGGTGTATGCTGTCTTTTATTACGGTACAGCAAAATTGCTATTAATTTGTTAGTTAAATCTAGTTGATCTTTATAACTAGTTTTAAAAATATTTTTATTTTGGAACAGCTTTGAGCAGTTTGGCAAACCAAACATGATAAACCCTGACATTCAAAGAGATGTAGCAGAGACTCTGCTCACAGGAACTAAAAGTGCTGTAGATAACACACTTCGGCCTGAATTCATAAGACTGGCTCCTCCACTACATATAGCTGATGATGAGGTATCAGTCCATGTACATTTGCATTTAACTACACAATATTCTTTTTTTTTTTAAAGTAAATTCTAAAGGCACAATTCTTCAGGATTTTTAACAATTCTACAACACTGCATGATCCAGGCATTTAAAAAAAAAATCCCATTATTGACACATTTTATGGTGTGTAGTCCAGATGTAATTACAACTTCAGTAATGTTTAATAACAATTTATTATTAGAAACGTGAGCACAAAGAAATAAGCTTTAGAGTAAATTTATTTCATGAAATAGAATAAGTAATATGAAGACCAAAATTGTTTAAACATATTTTTTTATTAATTATCAATGTATAGATGGCCTGGATGCTTCCATCAGATACAGAATTTAATGTAGCTTGGGATACAACAATGTGTGTGAACACATCAACAGGGGTTGAAGTGCGCCGGCTTATGGCTAAAGCATTTAAAGGTGCCTTAACACCTCCCCAGCAGCAGCAGATTAAGAAAGAACTAGATAAAGATAGCAAACTAGTCTACAATATTGGATTATCACCTGCTAAAGTAGGTCTATATTAATCAATAACCAAAAGTTTGGCATGTGCTCCATTTTTTAAAAAGAAAAGTACATCCAATGTATTTTTTTTTAACAGCTACCAGACTTAGTTGAAAATAATCCATTAGTTGCCATTGAAGTTCTGCTCAAATTAATGAACTCAACACAAATTACAGAGTAAGTTATCCTTTTTATTGATTCTGAACATGCTTATACTCTTTAAATAAGCTTTATTTGATCTCAACTATTAAAATGTTTATGTTAACCTTCTGGCATAATGTATGTGTATCTAACAGCTATTTTCAAGTACTGGTGAACATGGAAATGTCTCTTCATTCAATGGAGGTTGTTAACAGATTAACTACAGTAAGTTCTTACGACATCTGTCTTAAATACAGTGTATCAGTACTGGGCAATTTTGAGCTGGCCAAAACTATTCTACCTGAATTTTCTAAAAGTCTAAAAATTATTTTATTACCTTATGTATAATTTATGATTGTCAACCACACCACTGCTTATAATTTAATATGAAGGCTTGCTTTTATTTTCTATTTTAGCAAGTTGAACTTCCATCAGAATTTATCCACCTGTATATTTCAAACTGTATTACCACATGTGAGACCATCAAAGACAGATACTTTCAAAATCGATTAGTTCGGCTTACCTGTGTTTTTCTACAGTCTCTAATACGTAATAGAACTATAGATGTTAAGGTAAGAATTACTTTTGTTTGTACCTTAATATGCAAAAAGAATGCATGCCTAAGAAAGCATTTATATTATTTTTTTATATGTTTCAGGATATTTTCATTGAAGTTCAAGCATTTTGTATAGAATTTAGCAGAATTCGAGAAGCTGCTGCATTATTTAGACTTCTGAAATCTCTGGACAATGACAAAGAGCCAACTAGCACTGGAAGATAAATTGACATGGTTGAAAGTGTTGAGAAACTATAATTGTAATTTGTATGTATTGATTTTTAGTAAAATTATTAAAATTTGCAAGGTAACACAAAACTGTATTCTATTTATTTGATTAGTATCCTATGTTGATTTCGTTTCAACTTTGCACATACATGTACATACACCAGGTGGTAGTGATGAGTCAGGTGAGGATGCCAGACTAAGTTGAAAGATACATATTTAGGGGAGGTAATACCATTGTGAATTATTTTTTGTGGAAATGTGAACTTTTTTTTTTGCCACTGTATAAAAGATTAGAATCAGTTATTTAAATGAGCAATTTTTGACATGTCTGCTTATTTTAAATCATGTGCTCATGAAGAAGTTGTAGTGTTCTCTGCTTGACCTCAGCATTTAATCAATAGGATTGTAATGTCAGTACTTTCCGTAACTCAGTTAGGTACCTTATTCACAATGCTAGGGTGAACTAAGGTTTGCCCCTTCATACCAAACTTTTTTCTTTTATCACACAAACATCATGAAGTATTAAAGCTTTAAATTATTATTGCCAGGAGCTATATAATTAAAACTTAAAAGTTGTTGCTAGAACTACTAATGACAGCTTTAACGTACAGTTTAGCAACCAATGCTTTTTTTTTCAAATTGTCATAAATTTCTATTATTTTAGCTATAAACACTTAATATTTAATTTTTGTGCATTTAAGAGCATGTGTCACAATTAAAAATGTTTAATTTAACAGTAGAAATTAGAACAGGCAAAAAAAAAAAAAACAATTAGAAGTGTAACAATCTTATTTTAATCTTGCTACTAACATTCAAGCAAACAAAAATAAATTGTTAAAAGGCAAATGCTGATAGACACATGGCAGTTTAGAACAGTGGCAATACAAACAAATAAGATATTAATTTAATTGTTAAGTACCCTTACAAATTAGTCATGTTATCTGTAACTACCAGATGATGTACAACAAATATACTTTTTCAGGAAAGTAAACATGAAAGACAATGTAATATGCAGGTAGTATAAAAATATGGACTGTGAAATTTAAAAAAAAACCTGACAGTTTATGTATATTTGTAATGAAATGTGGTTAAGCAAGTATGGTCAAATGACTTATTTACAACAACAAAAATATGCTAAAATAAAAAAAATTATGCATTAAAAAGCTGAAAATGTACATTACATTTTAAATACACAAAGCTACTCTAATTGATGGAAATTTAATGTATCATCCACAAAATGAACATCTAAACTAGAATCCAACACATCATTGTGAGACGGAACAACTCCAATATCCTCCAACATTTCTGGATTGGGTGGGTCGTCCTATTAAAAAAACAACAACACTATTATAGTAAAATAAATATATTGCTTTTAATGTGCTAGTGAATAAAACAAACTATGTTCCTTACCTGCAGTAGCTGTGTTTGTCTGTAAGTTATTCCAGTCTCTGGATCTCTTATAAAAAGATCTGTCATAAAAAGATCAGCTGACTCTGAAATACCATCAGCTTGGAGCTCCATGTCAGGGATTTCAGCTAAATAAATGACAAGTTGAAGTGTGAGAGTTAACTGGAATCTTTCTCTTGTTATAGATCAAACAAATAAAAAAATATTCTATCATTAGCTGTTAATTTTTAAATATTTCTTTTGAAGTTAAGAACTATTTTTTAACTTGATACAAACTGCAATATAAATAGTGAAATGAAAACTAATAAGCACCTGCTGATGAATGATGCTTGGTTTTAATATGATCTAAATAATATAGTTGTAACAAAACAAAGCTTTTACAGTGAAAAACACATTTTAAATTGAAATAACAGGTGTAGATTTTATGGCTTTCTAAGTTGGATAAAATTTTAAATTTAAATTGTTATCCATTAACATTCTGTTAACTTTAATTTTTTATAGATTTGTGGAGATCTAAGTGTTTTTTCTGTGTCCTGGTACAAATATGAATAGTCATTTCACATGTCAACTAGGAAAGAAGCAAAGTTTTAATGCCATGACAGTTAACTGACACTATTGTTTTCAAAAGAAAAAAACACTTTGTTGTTACCTTTGATTACACCTTCTGTTAAATCTGAAGGCTTTGACAACAGAAGAGTGTGAATCTTATCTGGTCCAGCCAAAGACACATTGTTAGAGACAGGGTTTTTAAAGTCCCCACATGAACTGAGCACAATATTGACAGGTGGAGCTGATGTATTATGCTCTTCCAGTTGAAACTTTAGTCTGGCAGCCTCAACTTCTTTTTGTTTTTGCCACCTAAAAGGCAAACAATTACAAGATATTAAATCACAGTAGCATCCAGAATAGTCTAAGAATTGGATTGACAATACATATTAAAGTAAAATGAGTTCTGGTAAATTTATCACAAAATCATTGCAACAGTAGGCTACAATGTTTAGTTGGTATTGAGTTTTTGGCTGATCTGAATGAAATATAAATATACGTTTACACAAATGTTGAAAAATCCTGCACTCTTGCACTCATTAAGTAAAAGAGAATGGCATAAAAATGCTTTATGTAAAATAATACAATAGAAACACAATGGATAATGACACTTGTGTCATGTAGGCACATGAATTTATGTCGCAATTAGCAAATAAATCAAATCTTATCTGTGAAAATCACAAAAATACCTTTTTAAAGCTCTCTGACTGATAATATCATTAGATCTGGGATCTGTTCTGGCAGAACCATGAGCATTTTCTAGTTTGATCTGACTCTTCTTTCCTCTCTCTACAGCAGCACTTGAAAGTCGTTCTCGCTTTTAAAAAAGTGTATATACTTTAGAAAACCATTATTAATTTTAATTACTTTGTTTTTTAATGTAACCTTTTTCTAATAAGCTAACAATCACATACAAAATTAATTTAAAAAATCTTTTTCTGGATACCAAAAATAAAGCACTAAATTTAGATCTTTATAATATAGAAAATGAGATCAAACAAAATCCTAGTTATCACCTTTAGAATATCAGTAGCTTCCAGAAGTCTTGCTTCTATCTGCTCATCTGGGTACAGCTGCTGATGTTTCTGGGTGTGCTGGAGAACCTCAACAGCACTACCAGAGATAGAAGGTGATGTGAGAGAAGTCTGATCAGGTAAACTCTCACTGGATGAGTTTAACAAGGCTTGCTCTGCCATACCTGTGGTTAAAAAACTCAAGTTATAAAACACAGCATGTCGCTGGAATAAAAAGAGACATCTTAGTTTTATTGTCCAACTTTAGCATTGAGGTTCAGAAAAAAATGAATGGAAGGCAGAAAAATACCGTAGGTATAGCTTTAAAAACAGAGGATGAGTTAAAATACCGGTACATAAATAAGGCTATAGAGAAGCTAGAAAATATTTAGATCTAAATAAAAATATCAGAGGAAAATTCATACAATTTAAATTGATGCTCAAACAGAAAAAAATTTGGATTTCCACTAAAAATCTGAAAAGTCATATTCCTGAACCAAGTGTAATCATCCAATTTGAAATGTCCATATTCGATTGTTCATTTGAACGGAGTGACAAAGAGAAGAACAATAGCATATAGTATCTTGACCTAGATCTAGTATCAGTAGGCCAAATGTAAAACTATCTTAAAAATGTGTGGATTGTGCATGTTGGTTGTTTCTGTAGTGGTAATTTCCGTTGGTTTATTTTTTTAAATTTAAAAAAAAAAAAAATTTTTTTTAAAATTTACTGCGTAAAAAAAAATCTTTTTTAAAAATATGGAAGTAAATGGAAGAAGTGGAGAAAAATTGCAGCTCAATCAGAAAATGAAGATTACCACTAAAATTAGGAAAAGTAACATCCCTGCTGATAAAAGGGAAAGTTTACCTCCAGTTAGAAAGTCTATAGTGAGAACTGTGTCTTGACTTGGGGTTAAAGCTGCTTGTGTTAAACCTTTAATAAAAATAAAAATCAACACTTATCTTTCATTCTAATGAATTTGTGTATCTTTTCTTAAGTTGACCTTAAACCTTTTACAGCTCTCCAACATTTTTTTATTTTCATATAAATTAATTTGAGGTCACACTAAAATGTGACTTAAGAAAGTAGTATTAATATATTTTAGTATTTAGACAATACCTTCACTGTAGGATTCCTGTGAAAATGCCATATCATTTTGTCCATCCCCTGAGGTTAAAAGACTCAGCCAGTTGGATGCCCCTTGGCTTTGAGAGGACCCTTCAGCTGTTTTTGTTATAATTATTTTAAAAATTATGTTCAACAGTTAAACTATGAAAATAATCTTTCTTAAAAATGTCTATACAAAAGCCCCTCTGGCGTATTATCAAATTGAAAATATGTATGTTTTATGATGAATAAAAGTTCTTAAAAAACTATAATGTACTTTTTATTTCATGTATAATAGTTAGGTTTAAATGTAATTACATTATTTAAAAATAATTCACTTCCCTACCTTCTGTAACATTGCAATGTTTAACAAGAATATGCTGTCTAAGACTTGCTTTAGTTTCATAATGTCTGACGCACTTGTCCATGGGGCAGTGGTAGACTATTATCTTCCCTGATTCATCATGTTTTTTTAAATGAACCCCCAATGTACTTTTGGATGTAAATGAGTTACCACAGCCTGAATTAATTAAATAAACGCAATCGTTATTGTCAAGTAATAAATGTAAAAATTGTGTTTTTGACGATGGAAAATTTGTTTTGTAACTCACCTTCAATAGGACAAACAAAGGGTCTATCACCAGTGTGTATGATCATGTGTCCTCTAAGATGTTCAGATCTATGAAACTGTTTTTCACATACATAACAAGTCCATTGGCGATCTCCAGTATGTTTTGTTAAATGCCGCTTTAGTTTACTTGCAGTTTGAAAAGCCCAGTTGCAACCCTATATTAGAAAAAATTGTATTTTAATTCATACTAGTGGTTTCTAAAAGTGATGTTATGATAATAAGTTCAATATTTAAGCGTAATATTTTTATTAGGCTACAATGAGATTAAAGAAACCGGTAAACTCTACATCTGTGCTATTGAACACCTAGTCCAAAAGGGTAACTATACTTTTTTTCAACAACCATGCATAAAGTAAACATATAACATGACAATGAATCACATTAAACCTATAAAATTATAAGCACACTTCACCTTATAATCACAGACATATGGTTTTTCTCCTGTGTGTAATTTCTCATGCTGTTTTAGTCTACACAGAACATTGAACTGTTTACCACACCCAGGGTATTTACACCGCAAGTCATCAGGGCTTAACTGATGTATTTTCATATGGATAGTCATACAACTACTGGAGAAGAATACTTTTTCACATCCGGGTTCAGGACATCTGTCAAAGTTTAAAACCTTAGCCATACAAGTCAACAGATAATACTATATAATGTTTATTCAAGTATTACGACACTAAAATACATGCAAATATATACAAATATATAATATTACACACACACACATATATATATATATATATATATATATATATATATATATATATATATATATATATATATATATATATATATATATATATATATATATATATATACATATTTATATGTATGTATTATACATATGTGTGTATGGATACACATACTTTATTACTAATTTTTACAGCCATAAAAAAAATAGTATGATTTACTTGAATTTTCTATCTTCACAGGCATGTACATTTCTTAAATGTAACTCTAGGCGCCTCTTAGTTGGAAAACTTTCATTGCAGCCCTTTTTTGGGCACACTTCTGTGCAAGGTCTCTCATGAAGCTTTAGGTGAGTATTGAGATTATAAATTGTTGTAAACCTGTTACCACATCCAGGTTTATCACACTGTTGATATCAGAAGAATTCACAGATGACAATTAGTTAACTTCATTAACAGCTTACTAGTAGAATACATTTTTTTAAAGTACTTACTATAAAGTTTTTACGTCCTTCATGAGATTCATAATGTCGTTTTAGTTTGTTAGATGTTGTGAAAGCCCATTCACATCCTAATATAGTACACTAAGATAAAGAAAGATTTACATTTGTTTTACATTCAGTTAAGCTTATTAATAATACTGTCTAATGATCATTACTGACAAAATCCTTATATCTAGTAACAAAATAGTTGTCTATGCGTTAATTAAAATAAGAATGCTAACTGAACTAGAATAGCTTAGAGAATTTAGCCTTGATTTGATACAATTTATAAAAAGTTGCCAAAGTTTGTTGACTTGTATATTATTTAATGTTAGTTATTTATTCCAAATTACAAAACAAACACCTTGAATGGTCTTTCTCCTGTATGCTGCATCTGATGGACTTTAAGCTTTGAAGATTTCTTGAATGTCTTTTCACAGCCAGGTTCTGTACACATTAATAACTTTCTACATGGCTCCTTCTGAAATAATATTATGCAATTTCACAGGGGGGACAAGTAGAAATATAAACTATTTTTTTCCCATGAGAGACTAGGTTCTTCTTTTGTCAAGCTCACTTCACACTCAAGAAATACTAGTTCAATTTAGCTATTTACTATTTGCTGATTATTTTTTATAGTCACCTTGGATTCTTTCACACCAGTAGAAGTTGGAGCTTCTAGAGCAGTAGATTTATCCGCATCAGACATCATTGCATAGCCTGCAAAATTATTTTTTTTAAATAAGACCTATATTAATTTGTTGAAATGTTAATGGGAGTAAAGTAATCTACGATAGCCGAAATATCCATACATGCTGTAGATATGTGAAGAGGTGTGCCTGAAGCTTAACATTAAAAACCTTGAAGGTTTTTTTTTTTTTAATCTTAAAATTAATTTATTAATTGTATGAATTGTTGAAAAAAGTGATGTCCACAGTTATAGCAGATAGAAAACCAAATTAAAATATAATAACAAGGGAAGAACAAGACACTAAAATAAAATTACCTGAAATATCTGCATTGGTCTGTCCACTCAGTGCTGGGGAGCTTTGAGCCGCAGTTGCATTTTGTACAACCGTGCCCATGGTTGTCATACTGAATTGATCATGCCCTTGATTTACATTAGATGCATTTATTAAAAACAGACGCTGTCCTTGGTTAAGATTAACCTTAGTGGAGCCACTTTGATTCAAATCTGAAGTGTTGATCACATACATTTGCTTTTGTCCCAAATGTGTATCAACTAGAATTTTTGTGGAGTTTTCATCATCATTAGATATTGAAATGGTAGTGACATTAAGCTTCTGACTAGCAAGCTGGGAACATTTAGTTGTAGAAATTAGTGAATTGCCATGTTTGATCTCTGAGTGATTCGAATGTGGGGACAACTCTGGTGCTTGCAACATATTGATTTCTCCCTGACCATCAAGTATATGACTGTTGGTGCAAATAGCACTTTCAAGTCCTAAAAAGTTAGGCAAACTATTCAAGTTCAAATCAGTTGCAACATCATGTAAACTAGACAAAGTAATATCTGGTAAAGACATACCCTGCATGGTTCCATTAGTAAATGTTAATGGCACAGATTTTAAAAGAGAATTTGAAAGCAAACTGTTCTCAGTTTCACTTACACAAGGTAGGTTACTGTCAATAAAATCAGTTGAGTCTGTTATGTGAACTATTTTAACACCAGGTGACGAATCTGTTTTATTTATGTCATTTTCATCAATATCAATACTTTCAAACAGCATGCTGTGTAAATCATGTGAACTGCTTGCTCCTAGATTTAACTGATCTTCAAGCATGTCAGTCGCATCCGGAAATGAAACAAAGGAACCTTCATGATCATTGGGAATTGATAAGTGTTGAATTGTAGAATTTGATTCAATATGTTGCAATTCACACTGCGATTCTTGACTTGACCCCCAGGTTAAATTCATTGTTGGACCTGTAAAATTGTTGACAGATGTGCTATACTCACTATTTTCCAAAGCTTCAAAGTAATTTGAACCAACAGTCTGTTTAGAAAATACAAAGTCCACATTTTCAGAGACTGATCCTCCACCTATAATAATTGAATGGGAATCCATCTCACTTGCAACAGGACTGGTGTTTGCACTACTTTTGGAGATCATTTGTAAGATGTCTGTCTGATTACCAACAAACTCACTTTCTCCTTCGGCAGATTCATCACCTTCCACTTCCATTTGGATTGGAGAATTAGATCTAGATCTAGATCTAAATCTAGATCTTGGTCCATCTTCTTTTTGTTTAATAATTTGTTGATGACTAGCAACAGCAACACCGGATGAAGATAGAGGTGAGAAACTAATACCGAAGGCATCGTGAGGAAGATCTAGCTTGACCGAGTTTACGGCAGTTCGATTATCAGAGTTCAGAAACCGACTAGATCTAATATCTTCCGATTCTTTTTTGACGTAGTCCTGAAGTACAACAATATTTTCATGTGTGAGTTTGTGGGGGCCGCCATCTTTTGACTCTAAAAGTACCCCCGTTTTCAACATTTTCTGATCCCCGTGTAACATCATTTAGGGGACGCCATTGTTGATGCAGAGTGTACCAAACCGTGACGTCATGATCAAATATGGCCGTCAGTAGTAAATCCAACGAATCTAGGCATAGACTAACAATACAATATAAATATAGGCCTAGCCCCAATTAAAATAATAATACTAGATCTATTTGTTTCAGCACGTTTAATTACCGTTCCTACCTTCGGCAACTCTATTATCAACAACAAAATAATACCGATTACGTTGTAAAATTTTCGTCGGTCGATTGTTTAAGTAGCCTAACACTAAACACCTTTTTTAGGATCATTTATGAAGTCCACAAAGTCAAAGACATAATTTACCCCCACCCCCCCCCCCCCCACCTCCTTTCCTGGTCCTACTACCAGAGTTTATTTCAGGCATCTCTCCGGTGGGCACTGCACCCCCGGACGTCCATCGCCCCTACTCCTGACGAAATAGAAAAAAAAAAGGATTTTTTATACAGAAAGCTATAATATATAGGACCTACTTTAGACAGTGTCTGCACCACCCCCTCCCCCCCACCTACATCCCGGAAGTTTCATGTGCCCGATCGGAGAAAACTGTCTAAATGGAACCCCGCCTACTAGAATGACCCCCAACCCCCCCCCCCCCAGAGTTTCTTCCAGGCATCTCTTCGGGGGGGGGGGGGGCGAAGCCCCCGGAAAAATTTTTACCGCCCCCCCCCCCCCGAACGAAATGAAATTTATATAATTTATATAGAAAATATATACTTTTAACAGTGTCCGCCCCACGAAGAAAGTCTACCGCCCCCCCGAAAATTCCAAGTGCACCCCCGGAGAAAAAAGTCTAGAAGAAACACTGCCCCCCCCCCCAATCGATGTCGACTTTTGTTTTGTAGTTTTCGAAAATTTTAATTCCAATATACACTACTAGTTTTTTAGCATACGTGGTGTAATTTGGAATGCTAAACATTTACGCCATCATCTTTTTCTGCCAGGACACATGGGGACGCCACAGAAAGCTCTGTCCACTTTTGCCGGTCTCCAGCTCAGTTGTTTTTCTGCTGTGCGCCTCCACGTCTCCCAGGACTCATTCTCACAACGTGATCTTTCCAGCACCCTCTTTTTAAAAAAAATATTTCTGAAATGGCTTCTAATTTCATTTCTTCTAGTTATCTATAATTGGAGATGGTGATGGGCCAGTGGATACCATATATATCCTTCGCTGGTAGCGATTGTTACAGCATTTGCTGCCACACAGTTAAGGACATTACTTTTGAAAAGTCTGAATTTGGTCTTGGAGTTGATAATTCTGCCTAAATGTATGAAAGTTGATAATTCTGCCTAAATGTATGAAATCTTTTACTTCCTCCACGTGTGTATTGTTTATTTTTCATAATTTTGGTTTTGTTAATGCTTAATTTGAGTCCAGCTCCATTAACAAAAGAAATAAGCCTGTATCACTTTTCTTATAGACTATGTCTTTTTGACTGCTAGCTAGTAGAGTTATGTCTTCCTCAAAATCTAGGTCCTGTAGGCAAGTTGTTATCGTCATTTTAATACAAATTGCTTTGTCTATAGTTTGCGTTATCCGCCAGTCAATAACTGGGTTATAAGCAGAGGGGACAGAGCATATTTATTTGACTCCTGTCGGAACCAAAAAGGGTCACTGATATGGCTACTATATAGGGTTAAAATTAATAAAATGTTTTAAAAGTATAAATATATAATATTTTGTGGCATATCAAACAATAAACTGATGTAGTGTGATATTCTTGTTTATTTTTACATGGAGATACGTTTTTATAAGAATTATGTTATCATCTATATATATATAATTCTCTTCTGGGAGCCGTTAGAAAACAAGCTGCAAGCGCCTCCTTGCAGTCCCCTCTCTTTCTCTCTATCACTACCACTACCACCCCCACCCCACCCCCACATTGTCTGGTGAGCTGTGGTCACGCTGTTTACATTTTACAATCATAGAGACGGGTTTGGTGACGGCTATTAGGGGCAGATAATTTAGTTTGAAACGATTTTAAACTTAGAGGAGGTAACTAAGAGGAGGCTGCTTTCACGTGGGGGGGGGGATGGGGGTTTTAGTGTTTTTAAGCAAATATTTTGAGTGGCAGCATTGGTACTGTCGAATTCACAAATTATAAATTACTGAAAAGTAGAGAAAAAAAAAAACTAAATAGCGGCGTATGATACGCAGCGGGTCGGCTCGTTATATTATAATTTTAATAAGACATAAGGCAACATTAAGCTCACGACCTCTATTCTTGTTTTCATAATATATCACTTTAAACCAGGAGATACGAACCTCTAAAAGGCAGAGGCGGATTAAGGGAGAGGCTAACAGTGCAGCAGTCTAGGCCCAAAAACAACCCTCATCAGCTGAGTTTCTTTCAGGCCGCTCTTCAGGGTTTCTGAAAGAAACACTGCTCACAGTTTAAAGATTCGATCACATATCTATAGATTACTGGTGTGCAGAGGCGTAGCGAGGGGGAGATGCGGACCGCACCGGGTGACACCATTTAGGGGGGTGACACCAAGGCAAAAAGTAGCAAAATATATAGAGAATAATTTGAGGGGGGGGGGGGGTGCAAATCGAAAATTTGAAAGTTTGTCCCCGGGAAGGGTCGCTACGTCTCTGGGGGGGGGGGGGGGGGGGGGGGGGGGGTGACACCATTAAGTGACACCCGACCTCGCTACGCCACTGCTGGTGTGTATACATCCCTATTGTTTCTTGCCTTCGATTCTTTTATGTACAGTCTATTCGCATTGCACGTGTCACATGGACAATAAGACTTGACTAATGAATTTTGGTCACAGAAGTTTGAGTTGATTTTTACGCGCTTTGAAGGCTCGTATGATTTAAATTTTGATTTGACAACTAAGACTTTATCGATAGTCTTTGTTGTCGTATCTTGCTAGTTAACTAATTTTTAATTATTTATGTTTGGGGGGTCACATTCTGAGTTACCGCAACGGGCGACACCCGACCTCGTGAAGCCACTACCAATTACTGGTTAGCTGCTACAAGTGTTCAAGTGACGTTATACTCGCACGGCCCCTGATAATGTTAAAATTATATTCTGATATCCACTTTTAAAATGAGTTGCAATTTTGATATCGATATACCGACTTTGTTAACGCCGCATATGACGCAAGAAACAAGGATCGGCATATCAAGAGCCAACAGAACATGTGAGGATCCACATACAGTAGCGTCAGCGGTGCGCGCCGCACCAGCTTGCGGGGGGGGGGGGGGGTGACACGAACGCGAAGAGTTGGAGAATATACAGACTGTTCTTCCAGACTTTTTTCTCGGGCGGGGGGGGGGGGGGGGTTGTTATATATTTTCGTCGGGAGGGGGGGGGGCGGAGACTGGTAAACGTATTATCTATATAAATTTCCATTTTTTTCGTTCAAGGGTGGGGGGGTGGGGGTAGACTTTCTTCGCCCCCCCCCCCCCCCCGTAAAAGATGTATGGAAGAAACACTGTATACAAACGAGACAATGCTTTTTTTCAAGTTCAACTAATTATTAATTAGTGCTAAATCCACTTTTCAGCACAACGGATAAGTCGTACTCGCAAAAGGTCTGCAATAATCGTAATTTACTGCCACTTACAGAAACTCATGTTAAATCTAATCCAACTTTCCAATCGAATCTTCTGTGTCCAGCTGACTCAAGTCGAGGAACGTAAAGACGGCCGAGGTTATCCCTTCATATGCCGAGATCACAGAAATAGGTGCAGTGTTTCTTTCAGACATTTTCAGACATTTATCTCCCGTGAGTAGGGGGGGGGGACGGACACAGGTAAATAAGGCTATATAATTTAATAAGGCTATAATATATTTCCAATATAAATTATTCATGTTTCTATTTCGTTCAGGGGTTAAGCGGACATCAGTGCACGCTCCTCTCCCCTTAAAAGGTGCATGAAAGAAACACCTGTCCGATTGATCACCAGGTTCAACAAATTTAAAAACAAAAACAGTCTGTTTTTATTTTTATAATGCATCCTGTATTAATTTGTAATTTTAAAAATAAAATGTATGTTATTCTTTCTTTTTAAAAATTAGCTCTTAAGTGCCTGCTATTGTTTAATTAATACAATACAATAATTGTTGGTAATTTTTTTTAACACCACCAGATAGTTAAGACCTTATTTTATACAAGGGAAGCTATCAGCATTATCTGTATAGCAAAAACATATGTTGAGTTACATTTCTTGATACTTTTTCTTGTTAAAATGCGTGAGTGACAGAGAAGCCGAGTTTCTTTCAGACATTTTCTCCGGGTTTTTTTTAGTGGGGGGGGGGGGGGGGGGGGGAGGTGGCAGGAAAATGGGAGGGGGGGGGGTCGCACTGGTTAAAAAAATATTTTTCTATATATAAATAATATTTTTATTTTCTATTTTGTCTGGCATGAGGTTCTGCCCCGCCCACCCCTTCCCCCACCAATTCCCCTTCAGAGAGATGCCTAAATGCAAATGTTGGGTTTGCGTAGGCTGGCAAAATCTCATGGGCCACCCCCACCAAAACATCGCCCATTTTCCCACCGGTTCTTCTTCTTTTTCGCCCGTTATTGTAAATATTACAAGGGAGGGATTTCCTCCAAGATAATTAAGTATTGCGTGTCCATATGTTATACACCGTATGACCCATTGACTCCCATTTCAGCCTGCTATTTTATTCTGGACGTTCTTCCGTAGCCTTAGTGCAACCACGGACTAACTGCAAGCAGCAGTTGTTTGATTTTTAAATTTGGGGTTAGCAATATCCTGCCTAAGTCACTGGGGAATACATGAATATAGAGTCCTTGCAAACACGTGACCTAAATCACGTGATACCTACGCCCGCCGCCACAGTGGTGTACATCAGACGTAAACACAATCAGCTGTTCGCCAGCGCTGGACGTGTTCACCAGCGCTGGACGCGTTCACTGTATGTAAAGAATCGCGCCGCGGAAAAGGAAAAATATGTTAAAAAACTTGAACTCTTAGGAATTGAAGATCCTTATACATTTATTGACAGTTTCGTGGATAATATAAATATGTGGCCGAAATTTC